TATGGTCGAGCCTCACCTCCTGCATCACCGAGGCCGTTCTCGGACGCATCACAGGACGCAAGGCGGCTACCACGACCGGAGGGAAGGCGCAGAGAGGTGCAGTGGTGGCGGCGGCAACGGCGGGGCCAACAAGTGCGGTGACACACACAGAATGGATGGTGTCCACGACCGATACCGCAAAAGGCGAAATTGCCATGCCCAGGGCAGCACCGAGTCAGCTGTGGGCAGGCTTTGCCGAGTTTACTTTTTTGTTCGCCAAGGACGACCTCGACCCGTTCCGGCTTATTGCGTCTCGTGACAAGAGCAAGTTGAGAAACAGCGGTCCGGCTACACCGGCATTGTCTTCTGAACTTGGAGACAGTGGCGCCAATAGGTCGGAACGCAGGACTGGGGCATCCGATACGACGGACCGCATTATTGCTGTTCTAGAACACTCCCTCCCCCCCCCAGACGACAATACGACAGCCACACAACTCGACGACAACGACCTGATTGGAGAGCTTCAGTTTGTCTTCCTCACAGGAACGCTCCTGAGCAACCTGTCTTGCCTGGAGCAGTGGTGGCATCTTGTGCTCAAGATCTTTCTCCGTGCACAGGGCCTTGTATCCCGCCGTCCGAGCCTCTGCCGGTCCTTCATACAAACCTTACATAGCCAGTTCTCGTATCTTGAACGTCACGTATCTGGCGGCTTCCTTGGGCATACGTTGGCAAGAACTGCTGGAAACTCGATCACCACCGTAGACGCAGATGCTGGTGGCGCCGGCATCTTCGAAGCCAAGCCGCAAGGTGCTGCTCGCCTGCAGGCCTCACTGACAGATTTCAAGCGGCATCTTAACGAAACGCTCTTGGGCCTTGGCAAGGCTGCATCGCCTGAAGAGGCGGCTGTTGGCGAAGCCTTTGCCAGCCTTGAGGCGTCCCTGTGGAAGTACGGCTGGGATCTGCGCAGCGACTACGCTGCAGACAATGGTGGCAACAATAGCACGGACTACGACGACAATCGTGGCGGCCGCTTTGGTGATCCTGCCGACAATGATGACGCTGATGGAGAGATGGACTACTACGAGGAGGCTATCAAGCAGACGACCGGTTCTGGAGAGAAATCCCACCGAAAACACCATACGGGCCTTTCGGATACTGACTCGGACTCTGACCAACCTGTCTTGGTTGATCTCGACGCGAATGGTCGAGAGATCGGCCTCCTCTCTTGGGACTGAGGGATGAAACATGACCTAAAGCGGGCCATGCAGCAGATATATATGATTATGACTTGAGGATTTTACATCGTTTTGCTTGTTTGTTTGCATGAGGCTTGTTTGCATTTAGCTTTGCAAGACTTAAACTTACCTATATGGTATGATAAAAATTTGTAGTAATATCAAAATTTTGACAGTATACCACCTGTATTTGTTCACCTTGGATTGAGCATCATGTAGATTAGACTTATAAATTTTTTTCTTTTCTTTTCTTTTTCTTTGCCCGAACCATGCTTGTGAATGAACATCCCCCACCAGCTTGGAAACGACGGCACAACGACGCAGATTTTTATGAAAGCGAAAAGATACAATAAGGATGGTGGCGGCAAATCCTCCGTCGATTGGCCACTGTTCCGAACTCCAGGTCAACAAGTACTTTAAAATAAAAAAAGCCACGTAGTACATGCTACTACAGCCTTGTAAAACGCTTTTTCCATCCTGATCCTGTCCGTACCCATGCGTCGATGATGATGCTCGCAGGCGGTTGCTGGTGTTGCTTGTTGTGTTTGACAAGAGGCCGCGCCAGTACCATCCAGGGCACCACCAAAATCGGCCGTTTCCTGACGTTCTGCTTTCTCTCTTTCTTGCCCTGCTCCCCCGATACCCTTCCGTCGTCCCGTGTTTAACGGTACGACTTCTGGTAACGGGCTCTGGCACCTGGACCGCCGAACTTCTTGGGCTCGCAACGACGGTTGTCGGCAACGAGGAGGGTACGGTCGTCTGAGAGACAATGTAGTTAGTATCGAGTCGTCAATGCAACGTTTCCCGGGTCCCTCCACGGATGTAGAATGTAACTTACAAGCTACGAGAGCCTGCTTCAGCTGAGCCTTGGAGTGCTCATCCTTGTACTGTTCGTTGGGTTAGCAAAAGTAATTTTCGGTCGGACTGATCGGATGCGGTAACGGTAAAATATCGAAAGGAGGGCCGAGATCGGGACGTACACGCTGGTAGAAAGCGATCAGGCTCTTGCTGATGGCTTGCCGAATGGCATAGATCTGCGAAGTGTGACCACCACCGGTGACACGGACACGGATCTGTTCAGATGTTAGCACATTTGCTAGTTTACAACACGACCTGGCCTTGGTCTCCTCCCACAGGCGACCAAAGGATTGGATGAACTTACGTCGAGACCGGCAAACTTGTCAAGACCGACAACCAGGACCTATAGAGAATACCCGGTTAGTGTTCGTCCTTCATGTAACAGCACAGCAGACTTCTTGCACGTTCGTGTGAAAACGTAGAACACCGGTCTGCTTCAACACGGGCCTGTCGTGCTCGATCAGGGGATGTGGTTAACGTACGGGCTCGTAAAGCTTGGCGCGGAGGATCTCGGGCTGGACGACTGCAGTGGTTGTTAGCTGTTGTTCGTTTCGCTTGCAACGTATATTGTCGTTGAGCTTGACGTCTGAAAATCATCGGACGGAAGAAGGGGCGAAGGAGGAGTCGTACGCGAAAGGGGGCGGCCGTTGACCTTGATCTATATGAAAAGCAGGTTAGAAAGGCCAAGTTCAAACATGTCGATTTCCGTTTAAATTCTTGAAAAAGGAAGAAACTCACCAGGCCCTGGCCAGCCTCGCAGCGAGCGACAGCAGTCGCGGTTTTCTGTTGTGAAAAGTTAACAATCTTGTTCTTCATTCGAGCTGTCGTTCTATTGTCCGCATATCATCCGTCGGCCAGTCGATCCTTGTCGAGACACAAGATTGAAAGTTCCGTAGGCCGCAGGATGGGGTTTATTTATCGGGAGCATCAACATGCCTTCTTGCCGAAGCAGATCGTCCGTTGCTTTGTCGCCATGTTTGCGGTTGTGTTGTGACGTTGGTGATCGCGAGGTCGTCGAGAGAGGGCGGAATGAGTCTCTTGCAAAAGATTTCGAATGGGCACACTCCGAAGGGAAAAGATGGAATAAAAACGTCGGGCGGCACAACTTTTCTTCGACCTTAGGGTTTGTGGGATATTTTCCGCGCTAAACCCAGGGTGGCATATTATAGTCATGTGACTGAACTAGAGAGTGAAAATTTTAGGACTGGAAAGTCTTTGACTCTATCTGCACGTGACTGATAAGAGATGATAACGTAACGTCACAGCACCACTGAATTGCTGCCGCCTGGTGGGCTATGATGCCTCGGGGTCTTATTCTCGAAGCCAAGAAAGAAGGCTGTCGCCAATCGTGTGCTTTCGCAAGAACTATGCGATAGAAGCTGGCATTTTGGTCTGACCACAATGTCGCGAAAGGGTGTCGGCTTGGCGGCGTTCGATCGATCGCGGATCACATCTGCTCAGTATGCGTCCCACGGATCCAACCTCCGGTCTACCAATGCACAGGCGCTTGAGACACAGCTCGCCGTGTTCCGGTCCGTGCTCCAGCAGTTTGCCCAGACACACGGAAAGGACATTCGGTCAAACCCGACGTTCCGTGCCCAGTTCGCCCGCATGTGTACGGCGATTGGCATCGATCCACTGGCTAGTAGCAACAGCGCCTCCGGGGGCTCGATTTGGGCACAGCTTCTCGGCCGGACAGTGAACGATTTCTACTATGAGCTTGCTGTCCGAGTTGTCGAGGTGTGTGCGGCCACGCGGGCTGAAAATGGGGGTCTCATTGAAGTTCGCAAGGTGAGAGACCGCCTTGCTCATGCACGGATGGACGGAGCGCCTGAGGTTACAGAGTGAGTGGCCATTGCCAAATTGCGACCACATTGCCGCCATCATGTAGTATCTGACTGGTATTATCAGGGACGATATTCTTCGTGCCGTAGGAACTCTCGAGCCACTGGGTTCGTCCTACTCAGTCATCAAGGTCGGCAGCAAGCCGTACATTCGATCGGTGCCAAGAGAGCTCAATACGGACCAAAGCGCCGTCCTTGAAGCTGTACAAATGCTCGGCTACGTCAGCGTGTCCATGCTCATGATCAACCTGAAATGGGCTCGCGCACGCGCCCAGACGGTTATCGACGACCTCGTGGGTGAGAGCATGCTTTGGGTAGACAAACAGGCTGCCGAATGGGAGTACTGGAGCCCTGGCTTTATGCTTGAGGGCCATGATGCTATTCTTGATGTGTGAATGTGTTCAACAAGTCGATTTGACACAATCATATCGTGTGTCCCGGACCCGTTCGCTATTATCTCCATGGAACCATTGTAGGGAACGAGATATGGCTATGGTAGCCCAATTTGGGCACCGTCATAATCCGATATTGCGACGTCGGATTTCCAACTGCCTTCAGTCGCGGCAAGGAGCACGCAGCCTCGCAAGCGCGAGAGTTTATGCCGCGCCTCGGTTATGAGCCTGGATCAGCAGGGCCAGATTCCAAAATTTCGACCGGCAGAGACACTGTCGGAGCGTCAAGCTCCTGCTCGATAATACATGCCGTCCTGGACTCATGCTTAGTTTTGGAACTATGTTCATTCTTATCCCTCTACCAAGGGTTTGCGTTCATACACTGAAATGAAAAGGAAATGAACCGTGACAGTATAGCGGAAGCTGGATAGAAGAAGTCAACCCGGGGACTAACAAACACCTTCCATAGTAAAATAGAATACGTAAATGAAATGACTGAAAATATCCAAGAAAATTCCATCCCTTACACATACAACCCGCAAATCCGACCTTTGATAAAAGTTGAAATATACACAAATGTGCGTGGGGAGCACTTTCCAACTTGCCAATAAGTTACTGGATCATATCGATCTCTCCCCAAGCCCGATAGTTTATAGTCATCTAGCCAGTGCCTTCGTGTGTTGACGTAGTGCTTAGTACTGGGGGTTCTGGCCGCCAAGCGTGGGCGGCGGCGGGTAGTCATCAACACGGCCGCCGGCAGAGCCGGCGCGGCCAGAGCCGTCACCGAAGTGCTTCTTGCGCAGGGCTGCAAGACGTCTCTTCTTAGTGACAGTGTTGATGTACGTGCCAATGATGAAGGACACCAGGTTGAAGAAGGGCACCCAGGCGTTCTCGGGCAGGAACTTCTGGGCAAAGGCCAAGCAGATGGGGCTCGTGATCCAGGTCACGCGCATGACCTTCCAGAAGCCGACGCGGACAGTAGCGCGGACCTGGTGGTACGTCCGGGCACCGGCGATCAGGGCCATGGCCGTCAGGTAGACGGTGTTTTGGATGGGAGCAATCTATATTCGTGCATTAATATGGTACCGAACGCAATATGAGTGATTTGCTGTGGGAGATATGCTTTGTTTGCCACTTACAAGCAGGTTGCTCACAAGGATCTGCAGGATCTTGGCCTTCAGGCTGGTGCGGCCCTTGAACGTCTTCTGCAGGATCCAGATGAGGAAGTGGCCAAGAGGAGCGCTCACAAGGGCACCGTAGGCAGCCATCTTGGGCACACGCGAGGTAAAGTAGTGGCCATGCTTGTTGCGGTCCTTAGCTAGCCGCGAGGCAAGGAGTTCCTGAGTACCGGCGAGGGTGCCAGCAGTGAGCATCTTGGTGCGCAGAGGGTTCTCCTCCAGCTGCTTGATATAGGTCTATAAAATGCGCGAGCGAAAACACTGCAGTCAGCCTTGTTATTCTTCGCAACCATACATTGGCAGTTCGTGCCACCGCGTCAGCAATGGTAGAAGCCAAGGCTCAACGTACAGCAAGGTAACCCTTAGTGCCGGCATTCTGGCGGCCACCGGTCAGTGCTGTGCCGACGACTTCGGCAATGGGATGATGGCCACTGGTGCCAGGAATCGGGGGGCCGGCGAGAGCGCGCTCGGCGGTCCGAATAGGGTGCAGCAGCTGCTGGGCAGACGACGGCGGCGGTGGCGTCTGGAACTGAGAAGCACCTTGCTGGAAGGCGGCAGCGCCTTGCTGCTGGAATGTGTCCCGCTCAACCTTGAACGACATGGTGGGCGAGTAGCTAAATCGGCATCTGGGGGAGGTAAAAGTCTAGGCCTGGTTGCCGGACGTGGTCAGTATCGGAGACGAGGCTGAGTGAAGCGGGACAAGGAATGGCCGATGACGAGAGCGAACAAGAGCAGGCAGAAGACAGGAATGCGGGTGTAAGATGCAGTGGATGCGCCGGCCAATTTAAAGTGAGGTATGCAGCCAATGGCTTTGTTTATTATGGATGGACCGAGGTCCGCCAGGGAAGAAAACAGAGACAGAACAAATGTACTGCAGCGATGATTTCGACGATGCCCGACCATCAAGCACGCGAGTAAAGGAATGCAAGGTGATCGCAAAAGTGAGGGTATTCTGGGGGGTTACTTACAACGTGCGACGACAATCTGCGATGATGAAGAAACTGGACGCCGTGAACCGCACAGGTGGGAGAAGCGTGGGAGCGGAGGAGTTTTTGTTTGTGTTGTGAAATTGGTCGCGCTGAGCAAGCCGGGCGCCCGGGAGACGAGAGGAGGGAGCTACCAAGTGGGTAATTAGGTCGGAAAGGGGAAAGCAAAGTTGGCTGTTGTGAGAGGGGAGAGACGAGGAGTGGAGACCTGGAACGCGGAGAGGAGGCGCTGGTGGTCGGAGAGGCTGGAACGGGGCCACGCCCAGCGCTGCTGCATCAACAAAAGCAGCTGTGGGCGGGGCGCGTCATACATTTTTATTGGCTGATTTCCTAGCACCCTTGTCGTCCAAACTTCGAAGTGCAGTACTGTCGCAGCTGGAACTACGCGCAATGCGGCGCCTGCATGCACTAAAACTCCTTGCAAATACAACATGTAAACAAACTAGAGGCTCAATCACAGAATGACAACGCATTGCACGCGCACTCTTTTCTATCGTGGACCGTGAGGCAGGCCATTCTGTCCTGACGATGCTGCTTTTCTTTCACACCGCACGTCGTAATTACGTCGTACGGTGTAGTATGCCGTACTTCCATCGGTATGTCTTTTTTTTTCTCATTCTGTGCACCCGTATGGTGTTTTCATGAGCAAATTCTATGAGGTATCGTTGAGAACATGCTGCGACACTGTCGCAACATGGCATTTGAAGCTGTGCCTAAACCTGATTAGTGCCAAGCCGTTTGCTTCGCCATTTGCCTCGGTATGTTCTAATACATGTCACGATGTTTTGTCTCGTGGCCAATCCTCCCACGTGGATATACACGTGACCAGATTTGGTTTGCACTCTTGCCATCTTTGGCCTTTTCAATTGCACACACTTCCAAGTAGGAACACCATACATGCCCCCTCTCTTGCTCCGGAATCACTCGTTACGTCTTCTTCTTTCTTCTTTCTTCTTTCCCAATTTTCTTTCCACAAAGCTTACCTGAGCCGATTTAAGGTGACATCGACACTTAGCATATGGTCACACTTCGCCAGCTCGTTTGTTCTGGTTAGTGAAAACGTTGGAACCCTCTTTCCAAATAATAAATCGCCACGAATATAGAGACGGGTCTCGTTCCTGTCCCATTCATTTATCATTAACTACGTCGTGATTGTCATCTAACAAAAGCATGCGCATCCGACGACTATTTACATCCGCATCCGCCGCATGTCTTCGAGGGACCAGTACTTGCGCATATTCTCGGCACCGAGCGCCGCAACCTCCTCGTCGAGATGTTGCCAGAGCACTTTACCCCAAGAGTCCATCTGCGCCTTGAGCACCGTCATCTCTAGCTCCGTCTCTCCGCTTTTGCACCGGCGCACGTAGTCCTCAAAGGCATCCATGCCCGCATGGATTTCCCGGTGCTGCTGGATCAGCAGGGCGGCCTTCGCGTTGCCATTGCTGGCTGCCGCGCCTGGCTTCTTCTTTGTCGGAGGCTGGAACTCGGGCATGCGCTTGGCAAGCATCGGGAAAACATACGACTCTTCGATCGAGTGGTGGGTGGTCAGGAAGTTGATAAACTGCAGGCCCTCGTCTAGGAACTGCCGTATTGACATCCCCGCCGGCCGTTTCCGTTTCTCGCACGCATCGTATATCGTGTTCCAAACCTGGCGGAAATGGTTGTGCTGTTTGGTATTAGTCGATGGCCACAAGGTATGTCAGGGGCGGCCTACTGCCCATATAGCAGGCCGTGCCGCACTTACAAAGTGGTCCATATGCTCGGCCATCCGGTTGTACTCGCGGAACTGTGCCGGCGTAAGTGGTGGAAGCTGTGGCTTTTCCTCTTCAGCCGTCGTGGCCTCTTGTGTATCGACGTTGACTGCCCCCTCTTCTGTTGTCCTGTCTGGGGCCTTGCTGCCACTGTCAGGCAGTTCCTCAGCGCCTGAACTGCCAGCAACAGCCGGAGTTTGAGACGAAGAAGACATTGCTCGAAGCCCTGTGTCCAGCCGATGCACTAGATGCACAGAGTTTGGCGTTGGAAACCGTGCCTTCAGAATCGACGAGCGTGATATGTGCCGGCTGATGTAGGACGCCGAAATAAGGGGACTACTCGTAGTGGCCTTGCAGTAGCGATATGGGTTCTGTGTTGTCCGAATGCGTACTTGGCGTATGATGGCCGTTGGGACAGATTGGGTCATGGATGCGCTTTAAGACCACCGACGCCAGGAATGAGCCGCAAAGGTGGTAACAATCGTTTTTAAAACCCTGTGAATAGAGATCCTGTCGCGCTCCAGTCTAGTTTTGCGGCGAAAGAGAGTGGCGACTACGGTTTATCAACATGCTATTCGGCCGTTTTTCGCACGAAAAGAAAATAAGAGACAAAAGCTTACACCAGGGTCGCGACGTGAGACGGACTCGGGCAACCATCGATAACCGATTGGTCCTAGCGATCTTTTCAGTGGGCTGCCGCTATCATTTTCGCTGCCCGGGCCATGCCTCGGCGGAAGGAGGGCTGACTCGACAGATTTAGCTTCAAAATGGTTGTTTTGTAGCGGCCTAGGGGCCATGTGATATCATGTAACACTCCGTAGTGGCTGCCGAATAAGGAGCACGCCAGCACAGGCACAGGCCGCATTTAGCCTTTGGCGGAATCCCTTGGCTGTCACCCAAATGCATCGGCGAGCGATAGCTGTGCAGGAGCTCTCCACACCCCTCCACCCCTTGCCCTGCAGCAACTGCCGCATGACTCGCAACATGACCACGATCATCTCCTCTTGATCTTCTCCCCGCCCTCTCTTCACCCTGGCGGCCACTTTCGCCGGACAACAATCTTGACACATCCACTGGCCCTGATTGCTTCGACAAATGATGGTGAGTTTAAAATGCAGCAAATGGCATTTCCTGCCCTAGCCCGTTGATCTACCTGTTAACCTCGACCAGCCTTCCGCCAGAACGCCACTGCTTGCCGAAGCGCGGCCGTCGGGCGAGTCCCAACGTTCTGACGACCGTGCCGAAGAAGAAGATGCTGCCCTGCTTAGAAGACGAGGCAGAGATGACTGTGGCCACCGGTCCGTGAGGGGCTCGTGGTCTAGCCGCCTGCGTGAGCTGCTCTTGTTTGCCTGGGCGCTGGTGGCGACGGCGGCTGTCATTGTCCTCGCTGCATGGGTTCAGCACAAGCAATCCGGCGACGCGCCATCCGGCGGAACAACGCCGCCCGGCAAGCGCAACCTTATCTTCATGGTGTCCGACGGCATGGGCCCGGCATCTCTCTCGCTCACTCGTTCGTTCCGTCAGCTCGTCGAGGACATCCCCATCAATGATACCCTAGCTCTGGATCGTCACTTCTGGGGCACGAGCCGCACCCGTTCGAGCAACAGCCTAGTCACCGACTCGGCGGCCGGTGCCACTGCGTTTTCCTGTGGCCGCAAGTCGTACAACGGCGCCATTAGCACCCTGCCTGACTTCACACCCTGCGGCACAGTCCTCGAGGCTGCCAAGAGAGCAGGCTACCACACCGGCCTTGTCGTCACCACTGACATCACGGACGCCACACCTGCGTGCTTCGCCAGCCACGTCAACTACCGCACGCAAAACGACGAGATCGCCCTGCATGAGATTGGCGAGGGTCCGCTGGGCCACGTTGTCGACTTGATGCTTGGTGGCGGCCGGTGCCATTTTTTGGCCAACTCGTCCAAGGGCAGCTGTCGTCAAGATGACGTTTTTGTCTCCGGCATTGCGCAGAAGCACGGCTGGACGTACCTCGACGACCGCTCCGGCTTTGACTCGCTGAAGCTGGGTAAAAATGTCTCGCTACCGACGCTGGGCCTTTTCGCTCACTATAACATCCCTTTCGAGATCGACCGCCGCAATATGGCCGACATCTATCCCAGCTTGAGCGAGATGGCCGCGACTGCGCTCCGTGCTTTGGAAACGGCGACCAAGGATAGCGACAAGGGTTTCTTCTTGATGATCGAGGGCAGCCGTATCGACCACGCTGCTCATTTCAACGACCCGGCCGCCCATGTCCGCGAGGTGCTCGAATACGACAGGACGTTCCAGTTGGTCCTTGATTTCCTCGAGAAAAGCGACGTCGAGGGTGTTGTTGTCTCCACAAGTGACCATGAGACTGGAGGTGTTGCCATTGCTCTTCGTAAGTCGTGGGTCTCTCGCCTGCGTAAGTTGTAATAGTGTTATGTTTATCCCATTACTGACTATTGGTGTTCCGTTCTTATAGAAGAGCCAGGCCAAGAACCTGTTTATAACTGGTTCCCTTCGTTCCTGGCTAATGTACAAGCCTCTGCTGAGCATTTGGCCTTGCTTTTGCGCGCGCATGTTGCATCTATCACCGAGGCCGGAGATATTGCTGCGCAAAGTGCGGAACGGCTGAAGGACTGGATCAACACAAACCTGATCATTGAAGGCCTCGGTATAACCGATGCCCTCGACGAGGAGCTCGACTTGGTTGCAGCGCACACCGACGACGCGACAACCGTCTTTTCCGCTATCCTTAGCTTGCGGGCACACATCGGCTGGAGCACACATGGCCACTCGGCTGTGGATGTAAACATCTATAGCTCGGGCGGTTCAGCAGCCGAGCAGATCCGTGGCAACCATGAGAATACTGATATAGGCAAGTTCTTGCGAGAGTACCTCGGTGTCAGCGTCGACGAGATCACGGCGGAACTCAACGACAGAATGGTTGCCGGCCAACCAGCTCACGCTCAGATAACGGCAGAAGGTGTTCCCGTGACTGAATACGAGATGGAGGGACTGCAGAAGCATTATTTGCCATAGGCGGTTGTCATCTTATTGTTTCTGGCCTGCACGATCACTTGGGATGGAAACTAAGTTTTGCATACTGAATTTGTTCTATTATGTGGTTTATGCGCCGCGTTCTGTTCATCATGTCGTAAATTGCATCGTATGGCGTTCTGTATCTTGGTCCAACTATAACCTTAGCTCGAACAGATGGAGGATATATCAAGTTATCTAGTTTAGTCGGAAAAGTCACTCTCATGTTCTTCCTCTGGGTGTGAAATATCAATTTTTCCTCCGAACGTGGCGTGGGCGTGATTCGTTAAGAACTGCTCCTCATCGGGGAAAATCTGTGCGTCCAATGCCTGGTTCATGATGAAGAGAGTCAAACCGCAGTTGGAGCCGTGCATCTCCCCTACCGTGTCAATAAATTGGAGGAGACCCTCCACGGTGAAGTTCGTGCTTGCGTTGATGTTGATGTTCTTTAAGTTATGCATCAGGAGGATAGAGCTCAAGATTGAGTCACCCATGGCATCACCATCGAAACTGAGCTCTTCGAGGTTCGTCAGAGCAACCGCCAAGGAGTGAAGATCATTGTCTGTGATCGTGGTTTGCATGATGTCCAGGACCCGCAGATTCTCCAGCTTGCACACAGACTGGATAAACTGCGCATGCTGCGGAGACGCTGCATCAAGCATGACATCGTTGCTTCGCAAGTAGAAGCCTTCGAGTGTCGTCTGCTTGCCGAGTGAGGCATAAAACTCATCATTGTCATCGATGAGATTTAGGTCGAGCGATGCCAGTCGAAGCTTGGGAGCTTTGAGCACAAGCTTGAGCAGAGACGAGGCACATTCGACATGCCACAGTTTGAGGCTCGTCAGGGACGTACATGCGCTGAGCCACGCAACTGTGTCGGCAAACGACTCAGAGTAAGTCGACTCCCATTCCATCGCTGTCCCTCTGTTGGCCTCGAGTTCAAGACTCTCCAAGGACACGCACTCGCGAAGACTACCGAGGTGCTCGAATGCACTGCTTTGAAGTCCGGACAGCCCGAGTCTCTGGAGGGACGAAGAGTGTAGTGACAAGGCAGCGAGAGATTCCTTGCCCATATGGTTCTGGCTGCTGACGCTGAACACCTTGAGGGAGTTGGGAGGTATCGTCCGAAAAAATGCTGCTAGGTCCTTGTCCACCGTCGGCCCGTTGCAGTAGAAGCATCTTAGCTCCCGGAACCTTGGGCAGTTATCACGGATGGACTTTGCAACCTCTTCCCCAATCACTGAGCCGTCCTGGATGTGTAGTGACATGAGCGTCGCCAACCTCGACGTCCAGCTAGGAAGGACATCGAGAGGTATTGACTGGCCCTCCAAGTGGGTCAACGCTACCGCCCGATTGTCGCGATCTGCCGCCTCTTTAACGTAGAGAGTGATTGCATTCCCAACCTTAGTGATGATCCCCGGAAGGTCAAGGCGTGGCCGGTTTCGCCGTGTGGCAACATTTGCAGTGGTGCTTTGAAGCATCATCTCATAGGATGCCATGTCGCCCTGAAAGAAATGTTGGCGAAGGTTACTGTTTGGTGCAATGTCGCTCAGTAGCTCCTTGAAGTCGCCGAGCTTCAGGTTTTGCATCCAAAGACAATATGGAAAGGCCGTCTTGCCGCTGCTGGAGAGAATGATCGCTCTCCACAATATGGCAAGCTTTCGCTTGCCGACAATCGAGGCATCGTCTGCACTGGCTGAAGCAAGCTCGTATATGCTAAAATGGAGAGCCTCAGACGGCCGCAGTCAGCCACAGTTTATAATCTGGTAAGGGTGGCAAGCTGAGAAACAGCTCAAGTCCGTAGAAGAAGTGTAAGGTGCAGATCTCAAGATCTCATGCAGACATACCTGTAGAGACTGGGCAACGCAAAGTTCGCCATTGTCCGGCTCACTCTTGAGAAATTGTACAAAGCATCAAAATCGCGACTGGCGGTCAGCTCTTCACAGACGAGCAGCCAGACATCGAGCGGGAGTGATGCGCTCATGTTTATGACTTGTGTCGCCGAACGGACACAACGCGTCGGTTGAGCTTCTCGACGTGTAGTGAAGCTAAGTGATATGCCAAGATGGCCTGGGAGGCTCTAGTCGTACGACTGTGCGCAACCGCAAAGAAAGGTATGTTTAATAGTAGTAGATGGGATTGATGAAGGCTATCATCCTCTGCAGATTGCGTTACAATAAATTGAATCTTTTTATGCAGTTCTTGCTTAAATATGTTGTCCAGGATGGTTTGGCGGGGAAGGAGAGACGCGAGGGGCGTGGTACTTAAAGGAGGCAACAACGCGAATAAACCGTTATTGGTTAGTCGCAACAGCTGCTGTAAAGGTCGCTAGTCAATAGGCTATCGCGGCTTACCATCGCCATTTTTGAGACGAACTAGCAACTGCCACCGTGAATTTTTTTATGGGACATCGACGGTTCACAACGCATAAGAAATCAACCGTTGCCGCGAAGGTCGAAGGCAAGAAGTTGGGTGTAAGAACCCAATATTTCGAAAGACAGACGTTGGTATCACCATCAAAAGACGGACAAAGGCGAACCTTCTGGTCCTTCCGAACTTACGCGCCGAGGATCGCGACTTGCACTCACGATCACGGCCGAAAAGCCCGTCATCTTTTATTAACAAGAACGCCTCGTCGCCTGTCCACAGCGCGCCGTAGCTTGTACTGTTCCACAGACGCCCCGTTTAGCAGGCCTAGTGGCCATTCGAAGCGAATAACCGACTTTTACCATGGCGATCGTATCATTCACGCTCACAGACGACGGCGTGACCGCCTTCCAGAATGCATTGGCGTGCATCCTGAAGTTTAGCGAAGACGTCTCGCTCGACGCTCGAAGAGACAAGGTGAGAGCGCAATTCTCTTTATTTTCGTGCGGGCTAGGTATGCTGATTAAATGATAGCTCATCTTAAGCGCTCTGAATGCCATCAAGTCCGCGTTTGTGTCTTTCAACTTCGCTTCGTCCCACTTCTTTCGTTACAAATACGAAGGCAGCGAGCGATCACCAGACAAGTTCCAGTGCCTAATTCTCATCCGGGTTCGTACGACTGTGGTTTGGTTGTCCTCTTTTCCTACACCCTGTTTTTGCGGCTGACAAACGCGATGAACAGGCTTTGCTCTCCATTTTCCGTAGCAGAACAAGCGGTGACACCAGCCGTGGTGGCAGTGGTGACTCGAGTATCGAGAGATGTGACGTCTCGATTGAGGACGGGCCGGACCGAAACAGCCGTTTTGTGGCTAAGATTGCTTGGAGGAATGGTTAGTTGACAGTCTCGACAAAACAGCGAGAGGTTCGTGTTGGCTAACGGATTTGATTGTTGATTAGGTATCACGGCCACGCATGCTATTTCGTTCGAGGCCCAGGCTCCCGTTCTTGCCAGATTTGACAGCTCTGGTGCTGACAATCAATGGTCGATTTCCGCACATACGTTGCGGCGCTTGATGGACCATTTTGGACCCAAGGTCGAGCTGCTCGACATCAACACGGAGGGTGAAGGTGTCCTGAATCTCACCTGCTCTACTGAAAAGCAGTATACAAAAACAGACGGTAAGTTGCATATTTTCATGATTTGATAACGTCTGGAAGATGCCGCTTCTAACCGGGGTCCTTGTCAATTCAGGGTTTCTGAACATGAATGTGCATACATCAATCGCAGTCAAGATGGATGATTTCGACGACATTGACATCGAACACAAACATCACATTATTATCAATGTGAAGGACTTCCGAGCCATTCTCCAACACGCGTGCACGACAAGCGGAAAGCTTACTGCGCAATATTCACAGCCTTGGAAACCATTAAGGTTTTCATACAGTGAAAACGGGCTGTATTGCCAGTTTGTACTCATGACAGTGGGCGAGAAGGAAGGCTCGAACTCCAAGAAAGACGGCACTAGAGTCCACAACTCGCGCACAAAAAGACCGTCGTTTCCAGCAGGCACAGCTTCGACGACTGCAACTCTACCTGAGGCTGGCCAGCGCCTGTCCAGCCGGGTAGAACCGGACTCGGCTCCAGCGGACGGGCTGCCATCTACCAGCAGGACAGGTCCTTTGTCTGCACCCATTACACATTCCGGGTTTGAGATGAGACCACCACTGGCCCCTCCGTCTACTATACGGATGGAGGCCTTGTATGATGAGGATAGCCAGTGGGAGCCTGTCAACCCGGAGGAAGAAAACCCTGGGTTCGTTCGTATTGAATGGGATGAAAGTCTACGGCCGGTATGTAACGCGCAGTTTTATTCTCAGCCATTGTCGACTTGGAAGGCCATATCGAGCGCCGAACTAACTCTCTGTTTTCAAGGAATTGGCTTTCGTGCCTATTGCCAACGACCATAGTGTCAATGTGGATGAACCGGCACCCACAGATGTGCCTGGAGGACTGGAGCCGACACAGCGTCTTACACAGGTAAGAACCCTGCTACCGCATTCGTTTATACTTGGGTATCGGCTTGTTCCTTGAGTGACTGCTAACTGTTGCCAGGTTCGCAAATTTGGGTTGTTTGATTGATTGTGAACCGGTCTGTGTTTTTTCCCTCGTCTATGCACCACTTTCGCTGTTATTCTCTATTATGATCCAACTTGTTGCGCAGCCTGCACCGACATCCGAGATACGTGTTCCAGGCGGCAAAAACTTGGACGAAGCTACGACTCTTCGTTGACCCTTTGTGTTACTTCCCTCCTGTTTGACGAGAGGACCACAATTACCATGCTCGCCCCATCCCCATGCTAGGACGTCGCCCGTTTCGAGCAGTGCAAGGACATGTTCGCTGCCAACGGCAATTTTTGATGCTTTTTGGTCGTTCGGTGGCGTGCTCTGAGAATAGTCGTCGCGACCCCAGGCCAATATCTTCCCGTCAGATTTCAAGATGCATATGTTCCCCCAACCTGCTCCAATGTCTACCCACGCAGGAGCTTCTGAAGGCGCCTTGCTTTTGATTTCCCACTTATCCTGGCCGATTACCGAGATTTTCCCGCTACCGCTCTCCCCGACAAAGCATGTGAAATCTTTTCCACAAACGGCCCTCTTCACGGCAAAGTCGATGCCTTCGATCTTGCGCGGTTCAAAAACAATTGTCGCAGGACTGCCCAGCTGGCCTTTCCGCCCGTTGCCCCATCCATATACCTCGCCATTACTTAAGACAACCACGACATGGCTCATACAAGCGGCAAGATCGACTATTTCGGTTCCAGGTGGGGGGAAATTTTTCAGTTGTGATGCTTTCGGGTCACGAACAACGAGCGGGCCTTGACCGAGCTCGCCTTTTTCTCCCAGTCCGCAGGTGAACACCTTTGTATTTTCGCCGTTGCTGTCAAGAACAGTGAAAATGGACGCTTCCCATGTGGCTGCAATCAACTGCACTGGTCCATCGACGTTCATCTTAGTGAAGCTGGGCTCAGCCGGCTTGTCACCAGACAGAACGCCACACGCACCACATGTTGCATCCCCGCTCCAGTGCAGTACCCCATCGCCGCTCAATAGGAGAGAATGGTTCCCACCAGCAGCAATTCGAGAGACCGAATTTGGTGAAGGTTCGTCGGCCCAGAGAATATTACGCGGGATCGAGACATCTTCTGAGTGCCCAATACCGAGCTGTCCTGAACCGTTGGATCCGAGGGCGAAGACCGTGACCATTGCGTTTAGCTGAAAGTGAGTTATGACAATTAAAGCTGGTGGCCGAGAATCGACGTTATGTAAGAAGGGGATAAAGGGATAGAGAAAAGAATAAATATTGGTCTTGAGTACTGTGATGTGAGATGAGGTGAGGTGAGTATGAGTCGAGAGCTAAGCTCCAGCGCCTACGTCAAACCACAGCAGTGGGACAAGGGCGCTAGCCCACAATTTTAGAACCAAATTCGGTACAGCGGCCAAGCGGATCAACCTATCACCGACAGTCGCCCTGTCTTGACTTTTGAAAATGCCCCACTTAAAATTTTGCTTAAAACTCTCTTAACATTCGTGTCTCTCCAAGCTTTTTCTCCCTCTCCTTTAACAATTTCCTCCGGTGCGATGTGAAGGGGCAACTGATTCGAGGGTATTCTCCCGACAGACAGCATTATTTTGTTTCCCCATTTTGCATTCTACATTGAGAGGGGACTCTAGACAGCAGTTTCTTTTGGGATCCCGCAAAAGGATAAGGCGAAGTGAATCGCCTAACACGCACATCATGGCTGCAGAAGAAGCACAAACGGTCGTGCCACCCGGCATGGAGACTTTTACCGTTGGCCTAATTGGTATGGGCGACATGGGAAGAATGTATGCCATTCGACTGGCTGCAGCGGGCTGGAGGTAAGCTATTTTCTACGACAAAACAGGAAACCGAGTATTTGCTTCCACGAGGTGAGTCACTTTCTTCCGGTGCAAAGTTCTTTGCACAATGCCCTCCCTTGACCCTATCACCTTCCCCCGGTTTGCTATGATGACTTGAGTGCATTTGGCTCGAGTATTGTTCTCGGTCCTTCTCCGGCAATTCTTGTCTGGGAATGTGGCCGTTTACTTTCCTTGATGAAAACTCTCAGCTACCTTAACAATTTTTTGTCTGATGCAAACCCATACCACATGCTTTACACGCACACTGGATTCAAACGTCAATCCTTTTGTCTCTTGCGCTGTCTTTTCTCTTGTCTATTCGTTTTTGTTTTCTAACCATTTCGGAAACGTACAGTGATTCGAAAAGCTTCGACAGAACTCGTGGTCGCAGAGCCTACTCTGACCAGTGGACGAAGAAGATTCGTCAGCATACTGACGTATGTACGAATTGTATTTCTGGGCGTTTAGGATTATGGCCTGTGATAGAGAAGACAAATACGAAAGTCTCCGAGACGAATTTTCTGGAAAAGTACGGCTACCCAACCTTTTCCCCTCCTTCAACCTTTGCACTCTGCCTGCCAAGGGAAAAGGCGACGTGATGATTTTGTCTGCGATTTTGGCCCGACTGTGAATTCCAAGTTGAGATCCCATGCTGAGGAATTGTCTCAGGAGAACATAATCATCCTCCGGAATGGCCACCTCGTTTCTCGAGCAAGCGACTATATCATTTACAGCGTCGAGGCTGCCGCCATCGGCCATGTTGTAAAAGAATACGGTCCCTGTATGCTTGACCACTCTTTTTGCAATTCTGTTGTTTCTTGCTTCGTACTTTGTCTATAGTCGTTTCGTTTCCTACCCTCGTACCTTATCTTGCCGACTCTGCTGCATTCTTTGTCTCAAAGCTCCTATTCTTACGAAGCGAAACAGCAACGAAGCAGGGCGCCATAGTCGGCGGCCAAACATCGTGCAAGGATCCCGAGATTAAGGCACTCGAGTCGTTCCTCCCAGAGGATGTCCAAATTGTCTCGTGCCACTCTCTACACGGGCCAAGCGTTGATACGCACGGCCAACCACTCGTATGTTGATACCCAATTTGTCGCTACTATGGATATATGCTGATGCGAGCCTTGTTTTTTGCACACTAGGTCCTGATCAAGCACCGTGCGACAGACGAAGCCTTTGCAAAGGTCGAGACGGTGCTACGATGCCTGGGGAGTACACACGTATACCTGACGGCGGAGATGCACGATCGCATCACAGCAGATACGCAGGCTGTTACACACGTCGCCTTTTTGTCCATGGGCAAGGCATGGCATGCATCCCAACAGTTTCCCTGGGAGGGCGCTCGCTACGTCGGCGGCATCGAGAACGTCAAGATCAACCTTATGCTGCGCATCTACGCACAAAAGTGGCACGTCTATGCCGGTCTCGCGATCATGAACCCAGAAGCGCGCCGGCAGATCGCACAGTACGCAGCGAGCACAACGGAACTCTACAAACTGATGCTCGAGGGACGCGCCGACGAGCTACGGAAGCGCGTGTACCATGCCAGAGACAAGGTCTTTGGTACGGACGGGCATCCCATGTGGGAGGAGAAGCCGATGCTTGACGACGGCTTGCTGGACGGTTTCGGCCTCGGCGAGCGGCCGGAGCACATCCTGCCGAACAATCACCTGAGTCTGCTGGCCATGGTTGACTGTTGGAGCGAGCTCGGCATTGTGCCCTACGACCATATGCTTTGCTCAACGCCGCTCTTCCGGCTGCGGTTGGGTGTAGCTGAGAGCGTCTTCCGCGACACTGCGAAACTGGACGAGACTTTGCGTGTTGCCATCGAAGATAATACATTCCGCTCGGACGACCTCGAGTTCACGTTTGCTGCCCGCGGCTGGGCCGAATGTGTCAGCCTTGGCCATTTCGAGACGTGGAAAGAGCGGTTTGTGGTCACCCAGAACTTCTTCAAACCCCGGTTTCCCGAGGCGACCAAGGTTGGCAACGCGATGATGAAGGCGCTGCTGGACAGCAGGAAATGAAAGGGAAAGCGCTGGATGTACGAATACGATTCGATATTGCGTGGAAAGGACGTTATGGTGTTTTCTTTATTGAGTGAGACAGGTGTGCCTAGAGAATGCCCACTCTATCTTACACACATATATATTCATACATATATATATTAATTCCAGCGGTTCATGATAACGACCAAAAAGAACGGCGTCATAGTATGTACAGTCATAGTATGTGCAGCTGTTCGAGATGTTGTTTCTTGGGGAGAAAGCATCACGTGCTCAATCTGGGACTCGGTTCAGGAACGCAGCCTTAGGTGTGGTCCCTGTCCCAACTCAGACACTGAGCATTAAACAGGGTGCGTTTATGTTTTGCCGCTGAGAGCAACTACGAATTGCCATCCAGCGCTCCGTTAATTGGGTGACGTTAGGTGTGGCGCCCCATATTAGCGGGGATGAACTTTCCCTGGCCGGTGGGGTCGCAATTGCGCCGGTACTGTCCGTCGGTCGCTTTTCTGCAAACTAGGAATATGGCGCGTGTGCGCGCATTCAGGCCCCTGCAGAAACTGCCTGCCAGTCTGCGCCATGGCGTGGCGTCCTTCCCCGAGCAAAGCGCCTTTTGTTTGCCTTTCCTCGTCTATCCATCCACAGTCGCACTTCGTCCCTAAAATCCATTTTCCTGTCAGATTCAACTCACTTTCAGTCTTTTGGATTATTCGTGTTTTGCATAGCATATTCACCCATTTTCACTTTTGAACTATTATAGCATTCTTTTGGAAGTCTTTTAAGACGCCAATTTTACGACGTGCATCTGGAGTCTATTTGAAGCACGTTTCTTGGAAAACCATCGGTTTGCGCCGCACACGACCGATACTCAACAGCTTCACTGAACCCCCTTCGAGGCCAGTCGAACATCTACCGACCCCCTCCCCCTCCTATTGAAGTCACGAGGCACGCACATCGAAAATACCGTTTCCGATGGGTATCCTTGACCAGAAGCCCCGGTTCAAGGTCACAGCGCCAAAAATCCGTCGTGTTGTTAAGCAGATACCGGTCGAACCGAGGCCAGCGATACCATCTCGCAGCACAGGTTCTGCACCCCCAACGATTAGCAGGAGCAGTACTAGCCAGAGCTCTCGACCCGTTGTTGCTGGCGGCAGCAGCGCGCGGAGCAGCGAGACCCTGTCCGCGTCACCACGCACGTCAACCTCACCAACCAACCGTAACCGCGCCAGCCAGTCACCCTTACCGGGCTCCGGCAGCCGTAATGGCGGCGACCGCAAACGCAAGCTGGCGAGCCGACCAGCGCACCGGGCCTCACCAGCCGTCAGTGACCGTGTCGAGTTTGGTAACGACTCCGACACAGACGATGACGACTGGGAAGCGACACTGCACGAGCGGGAGCACCGGAAACGGAAACGGGTGGACGCGAACCAACGGGTAGACCTTGACCGCCAACTGGTACACCCAGTCCTCTTGGAAACACTCCCGAAGAGCAAGGAAGACGAAAAGGCGAAGGCCGACGCGGAAGAAGGCTTGGGCAAGGAAACCGGGGCCAAAGACAGCGTAAAGAAGGCAGAGAAGGTTGACGGTGGGCGCGATCTCAGGAGACTGAAGATCATTCACGCCAAAGATGTTGCGTCGATTGCGTTGAAATGCGTCCCGGTTCTCGGCGCTTCGGAGGACGAAGTTTCGGTGGAGCTGCAATACCCAGGGTCGCGACACAGAGAAAGGTATGGATTTCTTGTTCGACCGACAACGGCATGCAGGATATGATTTGCGTTTCCATATGATGGCTAACATTTTTTTTCTTCGGTTATGTAGTTACGAGCTGGTCTGGGGAAAAGACAAGATCGACGCGGTGAAGGATATCAAGACGACTATCAAACATATCACCGAAGTCTATTTTACAGACGAACAAGCCGCTCCGTTCACCGACAGCACGATAGGAATCATCCGCCAGATTGAGCGGGCATCGAGTGATGCGGTCAAGGACGTTAAAATGTTCAAGTCTGCACTGGAGGACTTCAACAAACGGTTGCTCGCATTGCACGATGACGGCTCAATAGCTGCCAACCTCGCCAAGAGACACGACCTCCCCAGACACTTTGTTGCATTTGTCCTCGATCAAGTGTATGATCGCACCGTTGCGCCAAAAGTCGAACTCCTCCGCAAATACGAGAACGGTTCCGATAACGTGTATGGCGAGCTCTTGCACCCATTCATTACGGACATTCTCGTGGACAGACTCCAGATGACCTCGGGCCAGGTGTTTGTCGATCTCGGATCCGGTGTGGGCAATGTGGTCCTGCAGGCAGCGTTGGAGATCGGCTGTGAGAGCTGGGGTTGCGAGATGATGGAGAACGCCTGCAACTTGGCCGACGAACAGAAGAAGGAGTTTTCCGAGCGGTGTCGGCTGTGGGGCATTGCGCCGGGCAAAGTCCGTCTCGAGCGAGGCGATTTCCGCCAAAATACGCCCATCTTGGAAGCATTAAAGAGGGCTGACGTTGTTCTTGTCAACAACCAAGCGTTCACGTCGCAACTGAACGACGACTTGGTACGGATGTTTCTTGATTTCAAGTCCGGTTGCAAAATCGTGTCGCTTAAGAGCTTTGTGCACGATCACAAGAGTGCTTCGCATAACATCAACGACGTCGGAAGCGCCATTCTAGAGGTCGAGACGCTGACATATCCTGAGGAGTTTGTCAGCTGGACGGGTGCGGCGGGCACGTTTTGCATATCGACTCGTCAGTAATGATGTCGCCATGCATAAATCTGGATGGGTGACTCCTGTGCATCGGAATTAGAATGTTGCTTTTGGTATATATGTATTATTGGATTATTTATTTTCTCGGTAGCGTTGGGTATCGGTTGGGCAGGGACCTGATGGCCATGAAAGGGAAACGAAGGATACTTCGTTTTGGGGGGAGAGGGTAGACAGCACAAAGGCGCAGGATATCTTACCAATGGGAGATACCAACACACACGGTGATTTAAAACACAGCCCGTGTACGTAGAAGTTGGACACACAGCGTTGGCAACTCTCGTCAAGGGCTTTTAGCAATGAATGGCTCATTAGCAAGATTCATAGCCTCTGCTTCTTGGCCCATCCTCCGCATCCAGCGGTCGACAAGGTCTTTGTTTTCCTTTTTTATTTTATCCCGCTGCTGCTCCGCGATATTGAGCTGCAGGTTTAGGGCAATCAGTTCATCTTGCACGTCCTGGAGTGGACACCGTCAGCACCAAAAACCACGGCTCATCTTTGCAACAATAAAGCGCTGGAGTGACCTTACCTCAACGAGCTTTGACTTTCCGCGTAGCTCCTCGTCCCTGTCTCGCACTTTTATTTGAAGAGCGTTGCGTTCAGCCGTGAGGGTTCGAATACTTCGTGTGTCGTTTCGAGATTTCGTACGTAGGGTCTCAAGCTCCTCCTCTGTCGCTTTCAGGCGTGACTGAAACTTCCCTTGCGAGCGCAAAGCCTCCGCAAGATCAACGCGAAGCTGAGCGTCTGGAGTTCCGCTGCCCACGTCCAGATCATCACGACGTTCTTTCGACGGAAGGGCAGTGCCGGAGGAATATCGTAGGAGCTCGTTCTCGGCCTGCAATGTGGCCACCTGGTCTTGCAATGAAGAGCCTGTACGATTCAAAGTTTCACATAGTTAGCGAGGCAAAGGGCACGATAGAGTTGTCATGGTCCGACTCACAAGCTGCAATAAGCAAGCTGTTTGCAGGATCCGTCGCATCGGCAGCCTCAATCGAGGCCAGGTACTCGTCGCGCCAGTTTGGCATTGCGGTGGCTATTCTCTGCTGAAGACAAACCGTTGAATCAGGGGGTCCGTAGCGAACACTGATTCTCTATGCCGACAATAAGAGAACAGGTTGATTTTCGAACCTCGCGGCCAAATCGGAACGTTGATGAAGTTGTCGTTGCAGGCTGAGAGACTGGATGGACTTAGTGGCGGCGTATTAGTGGACGGCCGAGCTGCGGTCATACCCCTCACTGACGCCTGATGGGGCAATTCCACCCCTGTGATTTGCCTGCACGTGCCACTAAAATGATCGAGCTCCAAGGGTGGATCACTGTTGGGTGAGGTACTTGCTCAGCCTTGGTGTCTTCGTCCAACCAAGTTTCGGTTGCACCAGGCAGCTGCCGTAATCAATCGCATTCGTCGAACATCGACAACTCTCCAACGACCGCCATCACCGAATCCCGTCATGGGACAATGAGCCGCAATGGATACGACACACCCCACCGCAGGCTGGGAGCAGGTCGGCGATAGCTTCTATCGAAAAGTGCAGCTCTACACCGCCGTCTTCGACCGCGACCGGGACCTCGACAACTATGTAGTATCCGGCGCACCGTATTCCGGAGCCATTGCACTCTGCCGTGACGATAGCAAGGTTGTAGCCTACAGGGGCGGCCAGTCCGCTAAACCGACGATCGACATCTACAGTTCGGCCGGCAAGCCCATCAGGAGCATCAGCTGGGATAAGGTGTCCGAGATCCGGGGTCTAGGCTGGTCCGAAGACGAGAAGCTCCTTATCGTCACGAAAGACGGAACAGTTCGGTGTTATGTCGACCTACAAGGAGAGTTTTCGCAGTTCTCATTGGGAAATGGCGCCGAGGAGTTCGGTGTGGAATCGTGCCGGTATGTGAAGTTGCTATGAATTTGTTAGGTGCTCTCGACAAGCCATTCTTTTGTTGCTAACATTGAATGTACCAGCTTCTACGACTCGGGCCTGGTTGCCTTGCTTTCAAACAACACTCTCATCACCGTGAGCTCATACGACGAGCCTAGGCCAAAAGTCCTTGCTTCGTGCCCCGAGGGCAGGGTGCATTCATGGGCCTTGATCCCTCCGAACCACACGCTCTCCCGGTCCGTCGAAGCACTGCTCAGTATCGACCAGACGATATACGTGGTAGACCCCACAGAATGTGAAGACCGCTTTCTCGATGTCGGTCCATTCGCACACGTCAGCGTCTCGCCAAACGGCAAGTTTGTCGGGCTCTACACGGAGACGGGTGCCTTGCACGTCGTCACAAGTGATTTCCAGACGCGGCTAAGCGAGCACCGTTCTAAGTCCAAGATCCCTCCTAAGTATCTGCAGTGGTGTGGCAATGATGCCGTCGTCATCGCATGGGAGGACGAGGTGCACATTATCGGGCCAGGTGGCTCGATCGCTAAGTTCTACTACGATTCTAGAATCCACATCATCCAGGGTGAGTTGAGGTATTCGAAACTTCGCAGAACACGGACACTCTGCCGTGTAAGCTTGCCAATCCTGATTTGCTGACCGGCGTAGACATTGATGGCGTACGGGTGATCACAAATACTGTTTGTGAATTTCTACAAAAGGTTCCGGATGTCACGGAGGACGTCTTCCGCTTTGGCGCGGAGTCACCGGCGTCCATCCTCCTTGACGCCGTTCAGCAGCTTGAGATGCAATCACCCAAGGCAGATGACAACATCCAGCTCATCCGCCCAAATCTCACGGAGGCTGTGGACAACTGTGTCAATGCATCGGGACAAGAATACAACGTGTACTGGCAGAAGCAGCTGCTGAAAGCTGCTTCTTTTGGCAAGTCTGTTCTTGACATTTACAACAGTGACGACTTTGTTGACATGTGCGACACGCTGCGCGTTCTCAATGCTGTGCGGTTTTACGAGATCGGCCTTCCGCTTTCCTACGATCAGTACCAGCGCCTCGGCCCAGACAGCCTAATTGCGCGCCTCCTGAGTCGCCATGAGTATCTATTAGCATTGCGCATTGCGGGCTACCTTCACCTGCCCACCGACAAAATCTACGTCCACTGGGCTTGCGCCAAGGTCCGCACCGGGTCAGAACCCGACGAGGCTCTTTGCCAAATTATAGTCGATCGTCTTGCTGGTAAACCCGGCATTTCATTCGAAGAAATTGCGCGAGCAGCCTACGATGAAGGTCGGGGCCATCTGGCAACAAAGCTGCTTAACCACGAACCTCGTGCCGGCCGGCAAGTTCCGCTGCTGTTGAGCATGGAAGAAGATGAGCTGGCACTGGACAAGGCTATTGAATCCGGCGATACAGACTTGACGTACTTTGTCATTGATCAGATGCGGCGCAAGCTGCCGCTCGCCGCTTTCTTCCATTCTATCAATAGCCGGCCAGTTGCAACGGCCTTGGTCGAGTCGGCAGCGACCCGCGATGGCGACAATACGCTCCTGAAGGACATGTACTATCAGGACGACAGGCGACTAAGTGGCGCGTCCGTCTTCATTCGAGAGGCTCTTCGGCAGCCAGATAGCCGAACTGCGTCCGACAAGCTCGTGCTCGCGGCGAAGTTACTGGCCGATAACCAAAGGGAGAGCGCATTCGAGCTGGGCACACTCAAGGAAGCGACAACGCTGCTCAGGATGCAAGAGGCCTTTGACCGCGATCTCACAGATTCTTTCACAGGCCTGAGTGTGAACGAGACAATGTTCAAGCTGATTCGGCTGGGTTATCACGGCCGAGCCAAGAAGCTGCAGAGCGAGTTTCACGTCCCCGAGCGTGTTGCCTGGTGGATCCGGTACGCATCACAGACGGCTGTGCATTGTATTGTGTTCCCTGCGTCTAACAATTTTTTTTAGACTTCGTGCCCTTGTGGCGAAACGCGACTGGAACGAGATCGAAGACATAGCCAAAGCCAAGAAAAGCCCCATTGGTTGGGAGGTAAGCCGAACACTTTGCTGAGAATAGATGGGTCCTATCCTGACGTCCTATCCTGACGTCCAATGGGCGACCGATGGCTGACAGTTTATCCCATTGCAGCCATTCTTTAACCTTGTCCTCCAGGCAGGCAACGCTCGTGTAGCAGCCATCTTTGTGCCCAAATGCACTGGCCTGGAGCCTGGCGCCGCCATTTCCATGTACGAGAAGTGCGGTATGAAGGTCAAGGCTGCCCAAGAGGCCGTCAAGGCCAAGGATGCCGAAGCATGGAAACGGCTTCTAGAGTCAGCCGGCCGGGGAACAGCGGAAGGACGAGAGATCGAGCAATTGGGCCATGGGCGTTTCTAAGAAGTAGCGGAGTGGTCGAGTCCGAAGACGCTCTGAGCTGACTTGGATTTTGTGTTTCTTTTATTTGATTTGGAGACCTTGGACGTATTTCATTTTATAAGCCTTGTCAATTGTATAAAAGTGTCATGAGAATTAGCATTTGGCTAGAAAGGTTCGTTCCCAGGTCATATCATGCGCGATAGGTAATGATGTTCCATGAATGAGTGTATGTAGACACAAACGTTGCTTAATAAAGGTAATAATATATAGGGTGCCGTCTTCGGAAAAAAGCGAATGGTATTTCTCAAAACGCCAATGCAAGAGAATGAAAAGTGCAGTTACAAAAAATGAAATGAGATATCATCCCCATGGATCCAAGCACAATGCCAAGCTCTCGATTTCTCTGGACTGCGTCTCAAAGGTAAACGAAGGGATAGACAGACACGCCACAATATGAATAACAAAAAGAAATATAGGCACGGGTAGGTGGTGGATAACGCGATGCCAAAGATAAAATCTAGGACGAGCGTGGGGTGTGCTTGGAAGCCTGATCTGGTGCTGTCATTTGCCAAGCAGCACGTCCAAAAAAACCCAAAATGAAAAGGTCGAAGAACAATGCGGATGCTGTATTCGCTAACACAAAATGGAAGAAGAAGGAACAAAAACTAGGTGCGAAATTGGCCAGAGATCTCCGCTGCAGCTGTATCCAGACTGCGCATCTCACCTCGCCGACTGTCGGTACTCGCGCGGCTGCTGCCTATCCTAATGCCGCTGCCATCGAACACCCAAGGCCCGGCGTCGTTCCGAGGTGTGATGGGGCCCTCGTGGCCTACCGGTGCAATGTGGCGCTCGGTAGGAGAGGGTGTTCGTTCATTATTAATTCCGTTGCTGTTCACAGACACTGTCGGCGGCACGTTAGCGATGCTGCTGGTCGAGGGAAATCGGCTCCCGGAGGGGATCGGCACCGGGTGAGATGTGGCGTGAGAGACGTGGCTCTCTGTCACGGGCTCTGGCTCGTCCTCTTGTTGCTGTTGCTCGACCAGCAATTGTCGCTGTAGCCGTGAATCGAGCTCTTGGCGTTCGTTCCGTTGCTGTTGCTGCTGCTGCTGGGCAAGAGCCGCCGGTCCGGTGCTTGTTGTCTCGTCAATATCTTCCATGACCGAGTCCACCTGCATGGTCGTGTCACCAATGTCAGCAGCCGCGGCGCTGGCGGACAACGCACCAGCCCGTTGATCGCTGGGCATTCGGGGCTTGACATGGTGGGCAGAGGCATCATTTGAACGAGCGTTGTTCGCACCGGTGACAACGCTCTCTTCTTCCTCGATGTCCATCGTCTCCCATTCCTCTGGCGGGTCTTCTACGTCGGCCTCAAGATCGACAGCGGCACGGCAGTTGGGGCAAATGAAGCTTGGATACTGTGGCGATTCCAGAAGAGCGCGAATGCACTTGTAGTGCCATGTATGTGAGCATGGTGCCACGAACAAGCTCTGACAAGGCTACATGTAAAAACAGTGTTAGAATATGACAGCAGAAAAGTTGGATAATTTGTATCAAGTCGGATGGAAGGGACGGGAACATACAGCAATAGAGTTCAAACATATCGAACAATCTTGCGATGACTGTTTCGAGCCGTCTCCTTCGGGCTTGGTCATGTTCCGTAGGCGTTTATGCGTTTGGACACTGGGCAAGACGTTAGTTTAACTTTGTAGCCACAAGAACAAGAAGGGGGTGTCATACTTGAAGGCATTTAGTTTGTTTTGCCATCCGCGGTTCAATTCCACGCGCATCTTAACGCAGCGGAAGATCATCTCTTCACCGCCTTTGAAGTCAATGCCCAGCTGGACAATATCGCCGTCGTTGACGGGAAAGGGTTTGCTCTCGGTGCCCGGCTGGCTAAGCCGGATATGGTTCAGGAATGTGCCGCTAGAGCTCTTCACGTCCTTGATGTACCAGCGGTTGTTTTCGTACCAAAACTCGCAGTGCCGCCGGCTGACGACCTTGGACTTGAAGCCCACGTGTGCAGCCGAGGGCACATTGGCGCTGACGTTTGGTTGGCTGTCACGCTCCGAATAACGCCCGACGCGAATCAGCTCCTTGCCCGTCGGCAGTGTGCGTGACATAGGCGCAAACTTAAGCGACGGTCTTGTAGCACGGGGATCGTAAAACGTCGAGAACCGGATCGAGGGCAGGCTTTCGATGTTAACGCCGTTGGCAGCGCCGGGCTCGGTAGCCGAACGTGACCGTGTCATGACGTTAGCAGTCGGTGTCGTTTGAGGGGCGACAGAGGGTGCCATGGCGTCGGCAGAAGACAACGAGGCGGCAGCGGGGCTGTTGGTGGTCGTAGGCGCTGGGGAAGACGCAGACTGAAGGTCAGAACGGTAGGCAGCCTGTAGGGACGATACAGCGGCACTTGTGGGAGCCGTAGCAGATGCAGTCGTTGACGCGCCGGGTTGGTTGTCAGCCGGGGCCCGGGACCCGGGCTGGGGTGCAGCGGCGTCGCTGGCCACTGACTGCGACGAGTTGGTCGATGTGATGCTGAGCGGGTGCAAGACCGCAGGGGCGAGACACAGACCAGGATCGACCGCCGATGCTATCACGGTAGCCGAAGAGGCGGACGAGGTCGGTGCAGCCGCGGCAGACTGGGTCTGACGGAGCGGGTACGTCTCGGAGTGCCCGAGACCACCGCTTGCAGACGACGGTGACGATGGCGAAGGCTGATTTAAGTGGCTGGCAGTGTTGCCAGTGCCAGCGGTGGTGTTACCACTGCCCGTGCTCGAAGCACCTGTAGAGCTGTGTTCGCGGTTCAGCAAGTGACTCTGGGTGTAGTTGCGCAGATAGCTGAGGCCGCGAAGCCGACTGGTTCGCGAGGTCGGCGACGCAGGCGTCGTTGTTGAAACAGCGTGGAGACCCGGAGAAGAGGGCGAGGGCGCAGGCGCAGGCGCTGGTATTGATTGAGTAAACATGGAGAAGGAAGGAGGGGAAAGAAAGTGAAAAGCGGAGGTGAGAAAGACGGGATCACCACGACAGAGCAGTAGCGACGCCTTGACGGTGGGACGGCGGAAAGAGATGGGCAGTGGTGGGCTTTGGGGGGCAGGAAGAGGGGAGGCGGGACAATAGGCACAACTGCAGACTGGTTGGATTTCGAGGGTGGCTGAAGGCTCTCGTAATGACTGAGCAGTAGTGGCCGAATAGCAGTCAACGAGTGCAATGCTGAGAAAGGACTGAGACAAAGCTGAGAAACAAACAGGGACGGCGGCAACGACGGCGGCGGCGGCGGTAATTACAGGCAAAGGCCTCAGCGCAATTACCAACCCTCCGATATGGTATAGTTGACCTTCAAGGCTGCGAGTGTCGCCGTTAAGGCAAGGAGTTGCACGTGATTGTGCACGTGGTAATACTTTGCGAGTCAATTTATTGCGAAATGAACGACGTTGGGTGCAACGGAGGAGGAAAGCTGCAGAAGGAAGAGAGGCAGGGATAATAGAAAGGCTTTGAAATGACCGCGATGAGGAGGAGAAAAGAACAGGGCAACATCAGGAACAGGAGGGCCGGTTCAAGTCGTGAAAGAAGGGGCCACGGGCTCGCCAACGCAGGGGACGTCGATTTTAGCGTTCCGCCCTGGGTTATGCAGCTGTGGCGGCTGTCAAAGCAGTGACAATGCACCGGGTCGAGTGTCAAATTGTCGAGGCTTAAGTCGAGGTTTGACCCGAAGTTTATCGTTTGTCGCTGTTGTTTGTCGACATCGGTGTTTGCAACACAAACGAAAGATCCCAGGCTGCGGAACAGACTATATCTACTACGGGGCATGGCATTGCAAAAACGAAACGCCCGCATGGTACGGCACTCTGGGCACTTGGTTGCCTGTGTCTCGCGCACCGGAGGGTCTCGTTTGCATTTCCAGTGTTTTTCTCCTGTCTTGTCCTGTCAAAACTGGCTTTGCGCCTACGACGTAACAAGTGCGGAGCAAGCAAGGAAGGCGAGTGCACCAGAGGGGTAAGTCACACGGAACGTTCAGCGTTCAGCTTTTTTGGGAGAACGAATACCGGGCGTCTTGGCTCCTTAGGACTTTGTGTGCGTGCGTGCCAAGCTGTCGCCACGCGCGCATTCCTCGCAGTTTGCCCACAACGGTGGACCAGCAGCACTGTTGGAGTTCTGGCGGCCAGGCCCTGACCTGATTTTAGGCGCAAACATGTGTAATTAACCCATGCCAGGTATGGCAATTGGTGCTGGGACCAAAGCCACTAGCGAAGCCAATGGCGGCTAACCAGGTCCCGTATTGAGGAGACAACGAATAACATTCACTTGGGAGGCAAATTTGAGGTGGAAGTCGCCGGCCAAGAGACCGAAATCGCTACGTGTAAAACGGAAAGCACTAGCAAAGCGGCAAGAACGAACAAAAGAATCTGACAGACGATGGAGACAATGGTAAAGTAATCGCTAAGCCCGTCGCCGCTTCCAAAGATGGAGCCTGGGCAATAGGCAGGAACAGGCTGAAGCCGAAGATACCGCGTGGGCTTGTCATCTTGCCAGACTCTAAACACATGATCTGCACACAATTGCATTGTGTCTCGCAGGGCAGAGAATGATGTATGCTTCATCCCTCCATCCTACGCCTTATGCATGGTGACGGACGCACATGACCATCCCGCAACCTGGCAGGCCGCAAAGGACTATGACCTGTGCCTTGTCTGCTGTCTATTACTGTACATTCCCATATTGAGAAAGGTCCACACAAAACGTCCTAGTCTGTTGTTAGGCAGAATCGCCTGGAGGAGTTTGAGAAAAGCCATATATGCAATGCTTCAAATGTGCTTTACCAAGCCGCCGTAAGCTAACATTTGTATATGTTGTAAAACTTGGCCTATTAAAAACGAAATTCTGTAATCACTTACTCTTATCTCATCAGAAAAGAAATGTTTCAAACTTTGAATCGTTACAGGAATCCCGTGCAAAAGGGTATCTTTAACCATTTGTTTAAACGCTCACGTGACTGTTTCTTGCTAATGCGCCTGATGGCTGTTATCGCTTATCGCCGATGACCTCGCCTACCATTGAGGAAATTTCACAAGTGGCTGCCGACCGGTCCCGCCGTCAGTACGAGCCCGACCGTGGCGATACAAGGACACTTCTCGGGCTTTTGAAACTCGTCATATGACTCCAGGACAGTGATGGTCGCCTGCTGTATTCCCTTTCACACTCTTGCTCACTATTGCATGCCTTCCGCCTAACCACATTCTCCGTTCGTCCTTCTCCTTCTCCTTGACGATCTTCATTCACTCTTAAATCACCGTCTTCACAATGTTGCGCTCGTCAATACCGCACATCGTCGGCCGTGCGCGGCGGCCGCTCAAGACCACAACCTTTGGGGCGACCGTCAGACGCATCGCTGCTACCACACCCACCTTACAGCAAAGACAGTCTTTCGCCTCAGTTGTCCCGCCACGGGCTCAGGATCCGACGAAGCTTGACGAGATTACCACCCTCCCGAATGGTATCCGAGTCGCCTCCGAGGCACTGCCCGACGCATTTTCGGGCGTTGGTGTCTACATCGATGCCGGTTCGCGGTATGAGAACGAGTATCTGCGCGGTGCGAGCCACATCATGGATCGTCTTGCCTTCAAGTCCACCAACAAGCGCTCTGCCGACGACATGCTCGAGGCTGTCGAAAGCCTCGGAGGCAACATCCAGTGTGCGTCGTCTCGCGAATCCATGATGTACCAGGCTGCCACCTTTAACTCGGCCATCCCTACCGCCACTGAGCTCCTCGCCGAGACAATTCGCAACCCACTCATGACCGACGATGAGGTGGCCCAGCAGCTAGAAACGGCCGCGTACGAAGTCAAGGAGATCTGGGCCAAGCCTGAGCTGATTCTGCCCGAGCTGGTACACATGGCCGCCTTCAAGGACAACACCCTCGGGAACCCGCTGCTGTGCCCAGAGGAACGTCTTGGTGCCATTGACGGCAACGTCATCCGTGCCTACCGCGAGGCTTTCTACCAGCCTGAGCGCATGGTCGTTGCGTTTGCAGGCATCTCACACGAGGAGTCTGTGCGCCTGGCTGTGCAGCATTTTGGGGACATGAAGCCTACCGAGCCGATCTCCACAGAAGTTGATGCCACTGCGTCAGTCGACGAGAGCGACAGCGCGTCGATAATATCCTCCTCCTCTGCTTCCTCATCCACATCCACATCCGCATCCACCGCCACATCGTCCGTCAGCTCTGCTGCCATCAGCCAACCCTCCAAGCTCCTCTCCAAGATTCCTTTTTTCAAGAATATCTCCACATCAGCACCGCAAAACGCCTCTGTGCTCTCCTCCGTCCCATCGACGACCTCCCTAAATGTCTCCGCTGCACACTACACTGGCGGCTTCCTGTCATTGCCGCCCCAGCCGCCACCGCTGAACCCCAACTTGCCCACATTTACGCACATCCAGCTTGCCTTTGAGGGCCTCCCGATCTCGTCCGATGATATCTACGCCCTCGCCACGCTGCAGACACTCCTTGGTGGCGGCGGCTCCTTCTCGGCCGGTGGACCTGGCAAGGGTATGTACAGCCGCTTGTACACCAACGTGCTCAACCAGTATGGCTGGGTCGAGTCGTGCATTGCCTTCAACCACTCCTACGCCGACAGTGGCCTCTTTGGCATTGCCGCCTCCTGCTACCCAGGCCGCACTGCCCAGATGCTTGAGGTCATGTGCCGCGAGCTCCGCTCGCTCTCTCTCGACAACGGCTTCAGCGCCCTGGGCCAGGCCGAGGTCAACCGCGCCAAGAACCAACTGCGGTCGAGCCTTTTGATGAACCTCGAGAGCCGCATGGTCGAGCTCGAGGACCTGGGCCGCCAGGTGCAGATTCACGGCCACAAAATCCCTGTTCACGAGATGGTACGCCGCATAAACAGCCTCACTGTTGCGGACCTGCGCCGCGTGGCCCGGATCGTCGTCCAGGGCATGGTCGAAAACCCCGGTCGTGGCAGTGGTGCCCCTACAGTCGTGCTTCAGGAGGCCGAAGTGGCCGGCACCGGCGCGAAGCAGATGCTGTGGGAGGAGATCCAAGACATCATTTACCGGTGGCAGCTGGGTAAGAGATGAGATATGTTGAGGGCAGACAAAACTGAAAGAAAAGAGAGGAAAAAAAGGAACGATCATATATGTTGCAGAGTGAAGAAATTATAGAAGCAAGTGTTTGATGTACTCATTTTCTCACCTTGGGTCTTAATGGACGATGGATGCATTCGGTCGGCAGCTGCTTTCGTATTATTCATTATCATCGATAGGCGTTTGGATTTTACATTCCCCTTTGTATTTAGTTTGGCGATGGCTTTTAAGGTAATGTATATAAAGAGAGTTGATTGACTCGACACAAAAAATATCACTACCCCTATTCTGACTATATATCTGTTACGTATTTTACGTCGACGGCCTCCTTTCAAGTTCGCATGGAAACTGAAATAAAATAAAATCTAAATAAATTCGAATAGGGATATAATAAAACACAAACCGACGCATCTCTCAATGTTGAACGCCCAGCCTCCCATCTACGCAAATAATAGAACAAGCGTATCCAGTCGGCTCAACCTTCTCAGGCCTAATATAGGAACACACCTGAGAGACTTGGAACCAATGGGCTATAAGAAAGACAAAAGAAAAGTCGAGCGGGAGTGACTCCTGTTCAAAGTCTAACAAAACAACACACAAAAAAGGACCATGCGAACAACTCCCAGGCTAAGTATGGCTGCACTGCATCTGCAGTTTCACAACCTCGTCTTCGCTACAGCCTGGAGCGTACCGCTTCTAGTCTGTACTTGACGTCTTTGAGTGCCTTAGTTACCGGTTTCCAGTCGTCAAACTGCTTGACCAACTCGGCCGTCTCGTCGTGCAGTTCCGTCTTGACAAAGTCTTCTTCGAGGAGGCCACGCATAATCCACGGCAAGTGATACGGGTTCGGGTTGGTCAAGCTGCCATGTTTGGCAATTTCACAAACAGGCTTGTTGACGCTCGCGGTCTCAAGACAGTGAGAGACAGCGAGGCTATTCAGACGCACTGTTAGTCATTAAACATAGTAGACACTCGAGGAGAATCAAGACATACTCATAAACTTGCGAATCGTCGTAGAGACGGGAATGACCCTCCCCAGAGTAAAGGCTGCCAGCCAACGGGACAGACAACTCTCGGATCAGGCCATGGTCCGATACGCCAAGGTTACGGAGCTTGCAGGCGAAACCGACAAGATGGGCAATGCTGCAATCACATGGTTAGTAAAATATTATAAAGTATTTACCGAAGACGGAGTTAGGTGGTGGCTTACAAGTCGGGCGCATGAATTCGGCCGTCAATAAAAACCGCGCGATATACGTACGGGTGGTGGACGGGTGAGTGTATCGCAGACTGTAACTTGGTTAGAGACCAATTTGGGCGGGTAAAACTTGAAAATGCGATCCGAATACTGACCTCTAAGGGCACGACCTGGTCGTCGATGCTTCCCACAAATGTCACCCGTACGCCGTAATTCAGAGCCGTCTTAAGCGAGTGCTCGTATCGTTTTGATACATCGCTTTCTGGGTTGGCAAAGTCCCAAAGCTCACTTGCAGAGCCCATGAGGATGCCGAGGCCTGCCTTGTAGTCCGGGAATGGCCCAAGCGAGACGCCCGCTGAAGAGTGTACGTATTAGCAATTATGAATAGCACAAAATCAACTGGGTAACAGTGCAAGAAACTCACCCATGGCACAAACACCTATACGTGCTTTGGTCACGATACCCATGTCGATCAACTTCTCTAGTAGTATAAAACTAACCGGCACGCCCTGTGAGTGGCAGGCAAGGACAACCAGGTCGGCGTTCCGGATGTGATCGATCCAGTTGAGAAGCAGCTTCCACAAGTTGTCCACGCGATCGGCGATCTTGCCCTCGCCTTCGAGCGCAATCTTCTCAATCTCGCAGTCTTCGCACCCGTTGCGATCAGCCCAGCGCCGCACAGCCTCAGCAGCGTGGTTGACAAACCGAATCGACGTGCCCGTTGGTTGGCCGATCATGGGGCGCAAGTAGGCCGCTGGGAAAAGGCCGTGGACGCCGATGGCGACGGCCTTCTTCACCTTGGGGAGATCCTTGGACAAGAAAACATGATTGGCTGGTGCCTGTTGCGTCCGCAGCAGAAGCTGAGCAAGTTGCTTGAGAATAGACGGATTTTCCTTGAGACGGTATGTGCTCCGGAACGATGGGAACAGGAGATTCGGCGGCGGTGGTTTAGCGGGTGTCAACTGGCCCTTTGCCATGGAGCCAGACGTGGAGGCAGCGCTGGACGCAATCTGATGGTGTTTAGAGGGCAGTGGCAGAGACTCATTGCTCTTCGATGGAGTATGAATCTGGACTTCTTGCGCAGGGGACCCTGGGATGGATGCTTCGTCGATTTCCATCGATTTTGGTCGCAATCGTTTGTTCTTCTTTGAGGAGGCTGCGGCAACAGCAGCTGCTGCAGCGATCGAAGCGGCATTCCTAGCAGCTTCCTTGACCGATGCCTCCTTGCTCAACCCGTCCTTCGTTGCTGCACCCTTCACGGGCACGTCCTTCATGGACGATGCCTTGGACGGGGTCTTATCGTTGTTCACCTTGAGACCCGAGACAGCTGGTTTGGGGTTTGCCTCCGATCGTTCGCCAATGATGGCAATCTCACCCTGGTCATTGGAGCCCGTCGACTCGGGTGATTTCCCCGTTGTTTTTCTCGCATCTCGCGACCAGAATGCCCAAGTTGAACCAACCGATCCTGTTGCCGTCGCTGGTCCAGATGCATTGTTTGCGCCTACAGTGCTTGATGCTGACGAGGCCGTGGGGACCGGGATAGGCGCTGACGGAGCGTCTTCCATAACAATGTCTTGGGGCTGTGTGGTATCTGTAGTTTCAGCTGTGGTACTGTTTTGGTCGTTCTCGCCGACTCTCCCAGCTTCTTGCGCCTTCGTTGTGCTTGGAGTTGTAGCATGTGCACCGTTCCGCCATAAGTAGGTCCACATGCTTCCTGATGTTGTTGGGCGTTCGACTGACTGTGGAGCCGGCGCGTCTTGTGGAGCCTCGGCGTGGGGAGTCGACGGAGCTTGGGAATCTTCGCTTTTTGGCAACTCTGGTGTTTGACGAGAAGAATCTTCAACCACTGGTGGCTTTGTTTGCGCTGCCTCCTTTCGTCCCCAAGAAAACCAGCCTGCGGGTTGTGCCGATGTTTGTGAAGTATTATTGACAGTAGGTGCACCGTCGTCTTGTGTCGTATCCATGACGTCTGCTGCCGCAACAGGTTCCGTACTGTCCGGAGCCTTTGCCGACGTATCGGGGGCCAACTTCGATGCACCATTCCCTATCGTGCCTTTGGCAGTCGCATGTGTCATTGCAGCCTCGGCTCGTCCGCTGCCCTGTATTGACGCCGCTCCGTTGCGTTTCGCAACACCGCTGGCCCCGGTTAACGTCGTCGTTGACGGTTTCCGAGATAATGCAGGCCCACTGGAATTTGGGTTGTCGTTCGGGCCATCGTCGCCGGCCTTCCGGGTGTCAAAACGACTCAAGTTGGACGTGGCACTGGGCTTCAACGTGCCGCCCAGGATCGTCTCGCGAGCAACTTGTGTTGACGCCTTGGACTTGCGCGGCCACGAGCCGTACCGGCTGCGATTCTTGTTGTCCGATTCTTTGACCGAAGCGTAACGACTCGCATTGCTGGTACTCTCGGCGACGCTGGGCGCCATTGCGTCTGTTGGGCTGCGCGCCATCACCGAATCGGCGGAGGCATCGCTAGCCTGCGAGGCCGAGTTGGCTTGTGCAGGACTTGGCGTCGGCAGAGAGGACGAGGACGAGGACGAGGATGTCGAGTCGGTTGGTGGTGGGGGATTGCCGTCTGAAGGAGCTGCTCGTGGGCGCTTCCGCGGACTCATTTGGGTGAGTGGTGATAATCGATGAGGGATCGAGTGGTCGAGCGAAATGGAAGACGATCGTAAAGAAATGGCGAGCAAGATCGTTCGAGGAGACAGGCGGCGAAGAACGGAGAGGCAAGACAAAACAACGCAATACTTCGCAGGCGGTATTCGTGGGGTTGTTGTTTGTTTGTCCCGAGATCGTCGCTGCGTCGCTGCTCTATTTGATAATGCTATGTGTGGGCACTATGGTGCGAGACACGGGAAAGAGGGTGGCCTGCTCTCGCCGGCATTACGTAGTGGATAACGACCTGGCATGCCTGGACAGGTGCTGCGTCGTATGGTTGGTCTCGACCCTGCCTAGCCTGCACGCACTGTAATTATTGGCTCCCGAGGCTTCATCCGCTGCAGCCCAGGGCGGCTGGGCGGGCCAATCCCCTCTAGAATAATGGACCCACTTTTATATCGGTCCCCGTGCACTCGTCGGTACAGGCAGAGTCCGCTTATCGATAAGAGAACGATACGATCTTATCGCTCCACTAAGATTTTTTTTTGAAGGGCAGTTTTTTCTGCTGGAGATTTTGGCGATCCGCTCTTTTCTAACCGTCGCCGTACGACTTCATACGAACAAGCAGCGCATCAGCACAAGCTCAACCCACGATCCAATTCACAGCCTTAGAGCTGTTTGTTGGCCGCATGATGAGCTCACTTAAGCGCAAAGAGGCATCTACGGGCGGTGTGCCGTCCAAAGCAGCCAAAACTAACGGCGGCGGTGATGGTGACCGACCCTCGAAGCGGGCCAAGGCCAACAAGTCGGGAGACTTCAAGAAGACGAACGACAAGACCGACAAGAAGAAGCCCGACTCGGAATCGAACTCTGTCCCAGCCACGGCGGGTGCTTCGACCCTCGTTTCCCGTCTCAAGGAGGACGAGCCTCTTTTCCCTCGTGGCGGCGGCAGCGTCCTGACGCCCCTGGAATACAAGCAAATTCAGGTGCAGGCCAAGAGCGATGCCCTTTTCGACCAGGCGAATGGAGACGCCGACAAGGCCGATGGCCCGGAAAAAAAGAAGAAGCAGAAGGGCAGGCGGAAGCTCGACGCCGCCACCGCGAAGCCCGCCGACGACGGCCCCAGAATTGAGAGCTTGAACTACAAGGCATGTTGAGACTTCTCCAGCCAGAGCTGAGTCAACAAATACGCTATCTGCTAACAACTACTCTTCTACAGCGTCTTGTCAAGGGCTCCCTCGTTCTGGGCCAAGTTTCGACCATCAACCCCCTCGAAGTCTCGGTCGCCCTGCCTAACAACCTCGTGGGGCACCTTCCCCTTACCTCCATTTCCCAGACCTTGAACGAACGCATCGAAGCCGAAGCTGAGGCGGCCGATAAAAGCGACGCCGAAGATGAGATTGACGACTCAGAAAACGACGGGGTGGACCTGCAGGAGCTGTTCACTGTCGGCGAATACATCCGGGTGTCTGTTGTCTCCACCGAGGACGACACATCCAACTCCAAGAGCAAGCGGCGCATAGATTTGTCCGTGCGGCCAGAGCATGCCAATGCGGGACTTTCTGAGCAGGATGTCGTCCGCAACTGCACTGTCATGGCCTCTGTTGTCAGTGTGGAAGATCGTGGTTATGTGATGGACCTGGGCATTGGCGGCTCGGATCTTCGTGGTTTTCTCGCTAAGAAAGAGCTCGACCCTTCGATCTCCGAGGCGCGCGTGCAGCCTGGTGCGGTTCTTCTTTGTCTCGTCACCAGCAAGTCACCCAACGGAAAGGTGGCTCAGCTTACCACTCAGAAGAAGCAGCTGGGCAGCCTCAAGAGCGCCGCCACCGACGCTGTCACAATCAACACCTTTTTGCCCGGTACGGTTGTCGACATTCTTCTGTCGGACGTTAGCGGCCGTGGTTTTGTCGGCAAAGTCCTGGGCCACCTCGATGCTACTGCCGATGTCATCCATTCGGGTGCTGGTACCAGTGACGCCGACCTTGAGGACACGTACAAGATCGCGTCCCGGGTGCGCGCACGCGTCATCTGCAACTTTCCTACCTCTGAGTCGCCCAAGGTTGGTGTGTCTGTCCTCCCTCACATCGCCGCCCTCACGCCACAGACCGTCGAAAGCAGCCCCGACAAGAAGAAGAGGAAGAAGCAGGAGCAGGAGCAGGACGACGAGCAGGCGGCCAAGCTTCCCCTTGAGGCCCTCCCATTGTCCTCGACGGTCGAGCGCTGTGTCGTGCGTCGGGTTGAGCCCAATGTCGGCCTGTGGGTAGATGTTGGCATCAGCGGCGTTCCTGGTTTCGTACACATCTCCCGCGTCAAGGACGGCAAGATCGACGCTCTTTTCGAGTCTTCCGGCCCCTACAAAGCCGGCTCTTCCCACCCTGGCCGCGTTGTTGGCTACAACCCCATGGATGGCACATTTCTCGTTTCCTTTGAGAAGTCTGTCTTGGAGCAGGCATACCTCCGTATTGACGACGTACCCGTTGGTAAAGTTGTCCCCGGTACGGTCAAGAAAATGCTCATCAGCCCGTCCGGTGTGTCTGGTCTGATTGTCGAGATTGCCGATGGTGTCACTGGTCTCGTCCCCGAGTTGCACCTGGCTGATGTCAAGCTACAACATCCAGAGAAGAAGTTCCGCGAGGGCATGAAGGTCAAGGCACGCGTACTGTCCACAGACCCGGAAAAGCACCAGATCCGCCTGACGTTGAAGAAGACGCTCGTCAACTCGGACCTGCCTCCCATTTCTTCGTTTGACGACCTGACGTTCGGTCTGCAGTGCCTTGGTACAATTGTCAACATCATCCCCGCCGGTGCTTTTGTGCAGTTCTACGGTGACCTCCGCGGCTTCCTCCCCGTCTCCGAGATGAGTGAGGCGCCTATCACCAACCCCGAGCAGCACTTCCGCCTGGGCCAGGTCGTCAGTGTCCGTGTGCATAAGTTCAACCGCGATCGTAACCGTCTCGTTGTCACCTGCAAGGATCCCACCTCATTCGGCGTCGAGAAGAAGCTGGCACTGAAGGACCTCGCTCCTGGCGAGATTGTGTCTGCCACGGTGATGGTTAAGAATGCTGACAGCGCTGAGGTTGAGCTGGCCAACACTGGCCTGAAGGCCACCCTCCCGGTCGGCCACCTTTCCGACCGTTCGGCAGCCAAGAACGCGGCTGCGCTCCAGCGCCTCCACGTCGGCGAGGTCCTTTCCGAGCTCCTTGTTCTTGACAAGCACGAAAATCGCCGGGCAGTGACCGTCTCTCAGAAGCCCAGCCTCATCGCGGCGAGCAAAGCCAAGACCCTTTTGACTAGCATGGAAGGCGTAAAGGCTGGCGACATGATTGCTGGCTTTGTCCGCAACATTACGTCGACGGCTGTCTTTGTCCAGTTTGCCGCAAACATTGTGGCTCTGCTGCCGAAGCAGCTAATGCCCAGTGGCATCCAAAACCAGCCCGATTTCGGCATGCACATCTCCCAGAGCCTGGAAACGCGCGTCATTTCGGTTGAGAACGACCGCATTGTCGTATCTCTCCAGACCGAGGCTAGAACGACAACTAACGCAGATGACGATGCCATTGACACGAAGCTGATCAAGCCGGCCGACACGGCCCTCAAGACCCTTGGCGACGTGAGAGTGGGTGTTGTGACCAAGGCAAAGATCACCAGCATCAAGGCGACGCAGCTGAACGTTCAGTTGGCCGACAACGTGTTGGGCCGTGTAGACATTACCGAAGTCTTTGACAAGTGGGAGGACGTGCCCGACTCCAAGGACCCGCTGCGCAACTTTAAGGAAAACCAGGTCATTGACGTGCGCGTTCTGGGTGTTCACGATGCGCGCAAGCGCACATACCTTCCCATCACGCAACGCAGCAGCCGCAGCGTTTTTGAGCTGTCTGCGAAGCCGAGCAACGTCAAGGCTGTTTCGGCACCGCCCGCCCCGACCATGGACAAGATCGAGCCCGAGTCGTCATGGATTGGTTTCGTCAACAACCGCAAGTCCAACTGCCTGTGGGTCAGCCTGTCGCCCAACGTGCGCGGCCGTATGTACGGCATGGAGGCGTCCAACGACCTGTCGCTCGTCAAGGATCTGGCGGAGAACTTCCCCATCGGCACGGCACTGCAGGTGCGCGTGCTGCACGTGGATGCCGAGCAGGGCCGCCTGGACCTGTCGGCACGGCCCGCTGACGCCAAGGACGAAATTGACTGGTCGTCGATTGACAAGAACATGGTGCTTCCGGCCAAGGTGACGAGAGTCGACGACCGGCAGGTGGTGGTGCAGATTAGCAAGACGGTGTCGGGCCCGATCCACTTGATCGACCTGGCCGACGACTACGACCAGGCCGTGACGACACCGCATTTTAGGAACGACATTGTGCGTGTCTCGGTCGTGTCGGTGGACAGCAACAACAAGAAAGTGCGGCTCTCGACGCGGCCGTCGCGTGTGCTGAACTCGTCGCTCAAGGTCGAGGATCGCGAGATTACGAGTGTGGCCGACGTTGTGGTCGGCAAGATCATCCGCGGTTTTGTGCGCAGCGTCTCAGACAAGGGCCTTTTTGTCAACCTGGGTGGTGATGTCGTGGCTATGGTGCGCATTGCAGACCTTTCAGACCGCTATCTCAAGGACTGGAAGGCGCACTTCCAGGTCGACCAGCTGGTGCGCGGCCGCGTAGTCGCGGTCAACCTGGAGCAGAAGCAGGTGCAGCTGACGCTCAAGGCGTCGGTTGTGGACGACAACTACGTGCCGTTGTCGACGCTTGCCGACTTCCATAAGGACCAGATTGTCAGCGGTCGCGTGCGCAAGGTGGAGGAATTTGGTGCCTTCATTGTCCTGGACAACACGGCCAATGTTAGTGGTTTGTGCCACCGCAGCGAGATGGCTGACAAGGCCGTGCGGGATGCGCGGAAGCTGTACAAGGAGGGCGATGTGGTCAAGGCCAAGATTCTGAGCATCAACCACGAGAACGGCCGTGTCAACTTGGGCCTAAAGCCGGCCTACTTTGACAATGAGGACGACGACGAAGATGCGATGAGCGTCGACGATGAGGACGATGGTGCGCGCCTGGATGACTCGGACGACGACGACTCGGATGACGACATGCTGGACGTTCGGGAAGCCCTTCAGATTACCGGCACGGACAACGACATCGACATCCTGAACGGTTCGTCGGACAAGGACGACGAAGACAGCGAGGATGAGGACGAGGATGAGGAGGAGGGCGGTGTTACGCAGGGCGCGACGAGCGGTCTCTCGGCCGGTGGCTTTGACTGGTCGGGTGCCGACCTGGACAAGGACATGGCTTCCTCGGACGACGACGAGGGTGATGCAGATGCTGCCGCCGCCAAGAAGGCCAAGGCCAGCGCGAAGCGCAAGAAGGCGGCTGCCGCGGCGCAAATGGATATTGACCGGACGGCCGAGCTGGACATTAGCGGTCCGCAGACGGCAAGCGACTTTGAACGTCTGCTGCTCGGTCAACCGGACTCGTCAGCGCTTTGGGTCGCGTACATAGCGTTCCAGCTGCAGGTCAGCGAGCTGGCCAAGGCCCGCGAGACGGCCGAGCGTGCGATCAAGACGATCAACGTACGCGAAGAGACGGAGCGCCTCAACGTGTGGATTGCGTACCTCAACTTGGAGGTCGCGTACGGCACGGACGAGACGGCCGAGGAGGTGTTCAAGCGGGCGTGCCAGTACAACGACCAGCGTGAGGTGTTTGAGCGCACGGCGAGCATCTACATCCAGTCTGGCAAGCACGAGGTATGTTTTGGCTGTTCTCTGGTCATGAACTGCCCATTTTCTGGCTTTGTCCTCATGTACACTCTTTTACTAACCAACCTCCTTGCAGAAAGCGGATGAGGTTTTCCAGGCCATGACCAAGAAGTTCGGTGCCCAGGCACCGCAGATCTGGATCAACTACGCACATTTCTTGCACCACAGCCTCCAGGATGCCGAGCGGGCACGTGCTCTGCTACCGCGCGCCATGCAGATGCTCGACAAGCACGCGCACGTCAACTTGATGGCGCGCGTGGCCGCGCTCGAGTTCCGGTCGCCCGTGGGCAGTCAAGAACGCGGCCGTACTGTGTTTGAGAGCCTGCTGGCCAAGTCGCCCAAGAAGTTTGACCTGTGGGACCAGCTGCTGGACCTGGAGACGTCCGTGTATGCGGCGGAGAAGGCCAAGCAGGCTGCAAAGGGTGGCAAGAGCACCAAGGCCAGCAAGGCCGACGCGTCGGTGGTGAGAGATGTGTTTGAGCGCGGCACCAAGGTCCCTGGCATCAAGCCCCGGCGGGCTAAGACGTGGTTCCAGCGGTGGGCGAAGTGGGAGGAGCAGCACGGCGACGCCAAGAGCCGCGAGAAGGTGTCAGCCCGGGCCAAGGAATGGGCAGCCGAAGCTGAGAAGAAGAAGGCCGAGGCTGAGGCCGAGGAGAGCGAGTAAGGCGAGAAAAATCATGAGCAAAACCAAGACGCGTTTGCATAAAAAAGTTCGTTTATGCTTTTGCCTTTATTTTAGAGGGCGGACAAAAAGAGTCATTACCGGCATATTTGCGTTTGATTTTTACAGTCGATTTTCTTTGTAAATAAACGTAGTGTTTACCATGGTTTTTGGCATAGTTTGTTAGCTTGTCTCGCTGTTGTTCCCTTGCTTTTAGATATGCATACTGTATTCTATTACACTGTTTCAACACTTTTTCTTCGCGCGAGGGCATGTGTTCTCCAGACCATTCATCCTAGTCCAAGCATTATGGGGCAGAAACTTCTCGAACGAGTTGGTCTCTACTTGAAAATGCATATGAAGCAAGGCAGCAGCCGAACGTGTCATATTTTCGCAATCTGGTATCCGTCTCAGGACGAGGCGCAGGTTCTTTTGGTCCTTTGCAAAATCGAGAACACATAATGCTTTCGGGCAGTGGGATGCGCGGAGGCGATATGTTTCTGATGGAGAAACAGAAAACAGCCGTACCAAGCAGATGGATAGAACGGACACCAGAACGTGTGGAGGACAGAAAGGCAAGACACGGAAGTGTCTTATGGGGGCGGGCCAGGCCTTAAGAAGTGGCGACACGGACGATCTGGGGCAGCAAAATGGTTTGTTGTGGAGCACATACTTGGCAGCACGTAAGAGCTGTCGAGCGTGGAGGCGAACACTGGATGAAAGAAGAATGTACATGATTTGAAGGTCGAAAGGAATGTACGAATCCTTTCTCTCCCCCTCCCCTCCCACCCCGAAACAAAAAAATCCAAAAACAAAGCTATCGGCCACAAAAATTAAAAAAAAAAAAAAAAGGAACTCTTGAAAGACGAAGCTGGGCGCAGATTCGTCGCTATGTAAAGTACACGAGACAAGGCACGACAATCCTGGCTATGCCATGTGGCTTTCATTTGGAGCCTTGCTCTTCCGATGCATTCCGGTGTCGGCTGCTATATTACCCTCTGGCAGACTAATATATTCTATGCCCTTGTCCAAGCGCACAGGCCATTGCAAAGACACACAGAAAATAAACGTACAGACACAGTTTTGAGCGGCGTAGAGATTTTGAAGTTAAACAAAAAAAAAAAAAGGTCTGGCCGTTGCAAGATAACTAGAGAAACACCCACAAACGGCAGAGTGTCAGTCGGCTAGATGCATTTTCCGTCGCAATAGCATGGAAACTATGCATGAGTTCGCAGCTGGGAGGAGTTGAGGTGACGGTTGGAGAATGATGGCGATGGAAAAAGTGGACTATGGGCCAATCAGGTGTCATACTTTGTCGACAAGTGGGGCCTTGCCATCGCGCCCCTTGTTCCAGCCCTGCCTTTTGTTGTTTCAGGTTTTGCACATCCCCCTCGTCTACTCTATTGCGAGAAAGTCTTCTGAAGGTCTTTTTGATTCTTTTTTGATTCTTTGTCTAGGTCGCACATCGATGTCTGCTCGGAATAAATGAGACCCATCTTCCAACTTCCTTTGCGCATTCATTAATTTATTTTCGTTATGTGATCACTATCCGCAAGGCTTGCTAATGGTATTTGAAGATTTGGCGATTGAACTGATACCAACTTACCCACTTTTCTAAATTTCAGCTCTATTTATCTTTAAAACTGGGTTCATTTGTTGTAAGTATTGTTTTCGTTGTCATCATTTCCATTGAGTCGTCTGATCATGCCTTCTTTGTAAAGCATCTGAACCCCTTCAGAAAATAAAGAGTGGATGGGCTGGTTTGTGATCGTATGCCAAGACAAAGCAGATGAGAAGGCGTATATGTAGAAAACAAGAGGAAATGCAAGGCAAGTTAGTTTCCGTCCATCACAAGTATGTCCATGCACCACCTCCACGCGCCCCTTTGCGTGATCTACACGCAAGACCTTGTTCCGCGGGCGGGGAAGAATGGGACGTGGAACCTGCAAAAGCAAGCTCATCGTCTGTCATCGTCAGCTTCACCTTTACTGGTACGGATATCCCTGAGGATATCAGCGTTTGTGGGGTCTGATGATTTAAAGGCGGACTTGCATGCCAGCCATGAAAATGTCTCTGAAGTAAAATCATCGCCAAATTTCTGAATGCTAGGTTTTTATATTAGGCATCTTGTCGAAGAGCGCTTGTATCTTGGGCTCTCCATATTTCAACCAATGTCCAAGGCCGTCCAGTATCTGCGAGGAGCACCTGTCTTTCCTGTATTTTGACAAGGGTTTTGATGGAGTCGGGAAGTTTTTCCTAAGCATAAGAAATGTATGTTTAAGATTGAAAGCAGACAGAAGCCTTACCTAAATCTCGTTTAAGTTTTTGTGACTGTATACTTGTGTCTGTAAAATTCCAAATTCAACCTTGAAAATTCTCCGAAACTATAGCAAATATCTCATGCTATAATGACCCGTCAAGTTGTGCGGCTCAAGAAGTAGGCCAATTGCCGGATGGAGGGCAATCGAAAGTTTTATATCTGGGACCATAGTAGATGTTATGTCATTTCGCCCGAGTTCCGGCTGGGCGTGGCACACAACCCACGACCTATGAGCTCATATCATGACACACGAGACAAGCATTTTATCCGGTCAGTAAGTAGACAAGGCGTGGATATCGGTCCATCCGATGGGGTCCGTAGCGTTACTTTTTTCTACCCCAGACGAACTCCCGAAAGTGGGACTGAAGGCCTCTGTGCGATGTCTATGGCATGCATACCATTATCACACCTTCGCTCGCTTCGACATCCAGCCCGCACGGCCTCTTTCCTGTAGCCGCACAGACAAGTAGAGCCGAAGCTTTTAGTTCTTGACTTTATTACTTCTTCTCCTTTTGCGTTTCTCATTTTTGTCTTTTTTCTATGTAGAAGGAAGATTTGCGGTGAGGATGGCACACATAGACACTTTTCTGATCATCGTGTTGAGCCTTGCCACCCCTGCAGAATTATCCGGTTCTTTTCTTTTCTGGTGTGATTTCCTTTAGTCGCCTCCCTCTCCATGACTCTATTCTATCCTCACCCGTCCCGCTGACACTCGCTTTTTCTTGTTTTGCTCATCTATGATCCTTTGAGATCCTTTCCGTTCTATAGTTGAAATGCTTTATGTATCCTCTACACCCCCTCCCTCGGCCAGAGCTCTGTCTCTTTTCATTTTTCTTCCTCTTCTTCTCATTTCTGCCCCTATTACCATTCTCATTTCTCTTTCTTATTTCTTCTCACGTATTTTATACGAAATCGAGGCAATATTATCATATTATTTGCTTTTCGTCGGCTACAGATCCTATCTTTGACTCGATGCTTTCGACCCAACGTCCTCACCTGTTGGCGGCGGTTTTCTGATCGTGGAGTAACGAACTTCTCACGAACACACACTAGACAACGGACAACAATGCCCAACACAACAGATATGGCGTCCGCGCTGCGTATACCGGATGGGCCCACTAGTGGGCTTCAAGACTTCGCCATTGCAATCAACTTCATCTTTCCATCGGCTGCCCTGCTAGTTGTGGCAGCACGAGTGGTGGGACGGGCGACCTCAAGGCAGTTTGGCATAGGTCTGGTTTGTCCATTCCACGATATGATGAAGGGAAAGCAACAGTCATACTGACAAAACTAGACGACTGGCTCATTTCGATTGCTATGCTGTTTTCACTGATACAGACAGCAATTAGCTACATGTGTAAGCTCCTCCCAACTATATTGAATATTTTTTATGGATAGTTTCGGCGGCTTCTAACAAATACGTCCAGTTATAAAAACAAATTTTGTCGGCATCCACTTCAACGAAATTCCACCGCACGACCCAATTCAGGGTGCTATCTGGAATTTTGCCGTTGAATTTCTTTACAACCCTATCCTCTCTCTCGCCAAGTCCTCGGTGCTCATTTTCCTGCTCCGGCTCTTTGGCCAAAAGACCGGCATCCGTCGCTTTATCATTGTGCTCAACACAATCAACTTGATACAGATGATTGGCGTCTTTGTTGCCCTCATCTTTCAGTGCACACCGATTGCGTTTAACTGGGACAAAACCATCAAGGGAGGCCACTGCGTCGACCAGCGGCTTCTGTTTGTATCGACTTCAGCTTTCAACATTCTGACGGATATTATCGTGCTTGGCCTGCCCTTGTACATTCTGGCCGACCTCAAGATCCGCCGGCGAACCAAATTTGGTTTGATATTTATTTTCCTGCTGGGCATATTGTAAGTTATTCACACTCTCCCCGTCTCCAAGCCGCAATACGCATGGCACACATAACTAACAAAAGGCACAGGGTCACAATAACATCTATTGCCCGCATGGTCATCTTTGTCCAGGGACTCTTTGGTCTAGTCGTGTCGCCGGATCCGACATTCAACATTGGCTTTATGACGTCTGATATCGAGACGAATTTGGCACTGATTACAGCCTCGATCCCGGCCCTGCGTCCGTTCTTGAGAGCACGCGATCGCGGGGGATGGCTGCCTCGGTTTGGCCGAGCACCGAATACGACAGCCAACGACACAACCGAAATGGCCCGCAATACGGCAGCCACGGCCGCCTACCTTTCGCGCGCCTCCACCATGACGGCTGCGACAATGGCGACAAAGACGGCCACGATACAAAAGTCGAGCAACCGCCGCGGCCGCGACGCCAATGGAAAGCTTCTGCGCATCGGGACGACGTCCGAGCGCCAGCAGCCGATGGAGCTACGCAGCCAAAGCCCGCGAAGCAGTGAGGAGGAGGCCATGACAAGCAATGGCATTATGCGCGTCAGCGACATCCAGCGCGAGATTGACGGTCTGGCGCGCGAGTTGACAGCCGTTTCCGGACCGTACTCTTCGTCACGGTACACCCATTTTCTGGATACAGATCCCGCTGCCGACAATCTCCAGGGAGCACCACAGCCGCCCCGGTCATCCTCGGCTCCGGGCTTTGGTCGGCGGCGGTTTGCCGACCAGTACTACAGTGAAGGCGCCGACCCGGATGTCGAGTATGCCCGTGAACGCGACTTCAACGAGGAGCGGC